TGACAAGGTCCTAAAAAAGACAATGATCAGGAAAAAAATGTCACACTACAATTCAAATCCTTTGTAATATGACTCAAGGATAGCAGGTTAACAGAAAAATTGGAAACATAGAGAACAGAAGAGAGAGGTAAAGTAGGAGTGACATGGACTAAACCTTTCCCAAAAATAGAAGAAACAGTACCATCTGCAATCGTAACTTTGTCATGACCTGATGAGGGCTTATAGGCAGAAAAAAGGTCAGAGGAGTCAGACATATGATCTGAGGCACCAGAATCAATAATCCAGGGCAAAGACGTATGAGATAGGAAAACACAAGCAGAAGAAGCAAAGTTACCTGAGCGGGCAAACGACGTGAAAGATGTACTGAGAGCAGTAAAAGACTAGCGGTCCAACAAGTGACGCAGAACATCCTCAAGCTCATGAGTAGTCATGCTCGAGAGACCATTAGAAGCCTGGCCAACGGAAACAGAAGTAGAATCAAGTGTATCAACGACACTAGACTGATGAGCCCGGGAATAGAAGCCACGTCCTCTAAACTGGCCTGACCGACCTCCTTTAGAACCAGACCGATCACCTCGACCCCCGGATGGAGTTCCATGAAGCTTCCAACACGTCTCACGAGTATACCGCAGCTTCTTACAGTAATCACAGAATACAGACTCCTTAGCGACAGTCGGAGGAATGGGAGTCAGGCTGAGGCCATCTCCAGAGGTAGACAGTAATGCTGAGCGTCAGTAGAGAGAGGGGACATCATAGCAGACCGGCGACTCTCCTCATTTTGTACATAGGCAAAAGCCTCCTGAAGTGAAGGAAGAGCAAGAGTGTCCATACTCAGAACCCGACTCCGAACCAAATCATACTCCACATTGAGACCGGCCAGAAACTTAAAGACTCTTTCTTGTGAAATGAACTTCATGTACCCGACTGACTCAGCAGTGCAAACAGGCTTATAGTCCTGTAGGTGATCAAGGCGTTCCAGCCATCGGTGAGGAAGGTCGCCCTGAACAGAGCTCTCAATAGAGCAGCGTAACTCAAATGCCTGTGAGAAATTTCCTATGCAAGAATAGGTGGTAGCCACAGCATCCCAAACATCCTGAGCAGTCTCCATAGATAAGTAGCCCTCGCCAATGTCTGGTACCATCGAATGAATAAGCCAACCCATAATCAAAGAGTTGGTAATCTCCCATTGGTCATAACCCGGGTCAATTGTGCTGGGTGCCTGTATCCTGCCATCCATAAACCCCATCTTCCCTCTGGTCTTCAAAAACATAGTCAAACTCTGCGACCACGCGAGATAATTCTGACCATTAAACAGAGAGGTAGTGATTTTAAGCTAGGGTTGGGATTTTCAATCATAGTAGTAGGTATAGGGAAACTCTCACTCCTAGGTGTCTGAGAAGTAGTGGACACACCGTTGGAATCTGCCATAGATACTGTACTACTGAACCCTCAACAAAATTAGTGCCAATCACAAATCCGGAAAGTGGAGAAATACAAACACAATGACCACTAAGAAAATTAAAGATTTAAAAAACTCATCAATCCTTTTTTTTTTTCTACTTCATTATTTTACTTCTTTTTTTTTTTTTGAAAAGACAAAAATAAATAAATAGATTAAAGAAAAACAAGGCAGAGGTGAGTTACAGACCACAAACAGAGCTTCCAAGTAACGAACAAGTCACGAAGAGAACTCAGTGATACATCTTCACGAAGACGACAGACGACAGACGACAGACGACAGGGACAGGCGCACCAGTCAGGGCTGCCTAGGGCTCTCCCAACCCAGTCGGCTACTGCCATCAGGCCTCCTGGCCTTAGCTTCGTCGGCAAGATACACCCAATCGAGGCTGCCTAGGGCTTTCCTAGCCCAATTGGCCACTATTGTCAGGCTTCCTGGCCTTAGCTTTGTCGGCGAATGACAATGGATGACGACTATGGAGTGACGATGGTCCTAAGGGTGTGACAATGGAAAACAACTGTGTGGTGTCTCTGTGGTGGCTCCAGTGGGTACTGTATGGGTAGAGGAATTTAGGTTTTAAGGTTAGACTCTGATACCATGTTATTTTTAGAGAATACTAGATTATGGAATGATTAGAATATCATCCCCTATTTATATTAATGAATTTAATAATTACAAGGAAGCCCTAAGGCACAGAATAATTACAAAATAAGAACCCAAATAACAATATGTTATTCTAACAACATAACCACAAAGAGATGCATTAATCCTAATTAAATCTTCAAATCACCTGGAAGGTTGTTCATATCATAAACAAGTAGGCATGCTAGGCCTTTAGATGAACAATGTAGGTCTAACAAGAAAAACAACCCATTAAGGCCTTGGACAAACACATGGGTGTACAAGACAATCTGAAAGAAAACCTTCAAATGGGCATTTGTAGTCCTCATACATAAAATCAATTTCATATATCCAGAAATTCAAGATAGGGATTAAAACTCTGAGATGAGTTGCATCAATGATCTATTAAAAGAGGTGGCTAGAGGTGTCGGGGAAGGTAGGAAGGTAGTTAGAACTTGGAAGTGAGTGTCCAAGACAATCAGAAAGAAAACCTTTAAATGGGCATTTGTAGTCCTCGTGCATAAAATCAATTTCACATATCCAGAAATTTGACATGGGAATTAAAAACTCTGATATGAGTTGCATCAATGATCTATTAAGGGAGGAGGCTAGAGGTGTCAGGGAAGACAAGAAGGTAGTTGGAACTTGGAAGTAGGCTTGTAAGAGGGTGTGGAGGGGTTAGGGTTAGTGTTTTTACATGGGTTAAAGGGTAAAATGAAGACCAGGGCAATATTGTCTTTTCACATTAGAATTTAACCTTAACATAATTTTTTTTTCTTGCCAACTCTTAAAATATGCACATGGCACAATTTCTATCAATTTGGATGGAAAATATTGACAAAAAATGTAAAAATTGCATATAGTCCAAAGCCACATATGGCTATTTTTTTAATGTGAGGGGGTGAAATGCTTCGAGGCCATGGGGGGGGAAAATGGATCATGCCAAAAAAAATAACCTTCAGGTTGCTTGTTATCAAATAATAATCATCTAGCAAATGCAAGATATAAAAATGGCATAATATCTAAATTTTGGAAAGCTCGATATCAAATCCATCTAAAATTTTAAAACCGAGAAGTATCATACTATTATCTTGGATACCACATATCGATCACTACAAGTTTTCACGACCAACAATTTTGTGCAATACTTTTGAAATGGCATCCTTATTTTGCGGTTCACAAAATTTTGATGTAAACAAAACTTTCCTTTTTCCACAACAAACTATATCAACATTTCACATAGCAACTAATATAATGCAAAATATGTGGACAAGAAGACAATCAAATATTGCAGGATTGCATTCTTCGATATTATGTCTTCCATTTCAGGTACGACATTATGAATTTAAGTAATAAATTTGTTGCTACAGGTTAGCAACAATATATTTTTTACATTAAATTAACAAACAATCTCAGTCACGAATGCTGATCAAACTTTACCACAACTCCGCAACAATCTGAACCTTTATTTATCTCATAACTGTATGCTATTAATGGATTGGCAATGAACAATATGCAGATGTTTCATTTTTTAGTGAATAAAGGCATGCCTTGCATGAACTGCTATTTCCAGTGAAATTTCCATTCCACATTCTTAAGGGTTTTAATTCATCATATTTGGAGTTCTTTTAAACATATTATGGCTAAATTGCTGTGCAGAAATCCATCCAACCCTACCGACTACGTGGGTGAAAAGGATGGGTGGTGCCAGTTCTGTGGATTTCAAGTTTATTTTTGGCAGGTCAGTTAAGAAGCAGTTTCAAAATCTTCAACACACCAGTGAATTGAACTGACCTGCCATAATATGTTTGGAGACAAGGTACATGGTGTACCCTCCCACATCTGATTTCTCGTCTTTCAAGTCTTAACCCTAATTCCCCAAATCACTCATCAGTCTCACCTCTTGATTGCGCAACAATAGCCAACTCCACCACCCCACCACACGATGGTCAATTACACCTCAGTCTCACCTCATTGTCGTTCCACTCCACAAAGGTCATTGGCCACCACTAGGCCCACCACCCCTTGAGGATTCAAACACCAACGCCCTCACCACAAATCTCACACTTGAAGTCTGTAACCTCCCAATGGTTTCAGAGACTTCTCTTCACCCCACCCCCCCAACCCACCGGCCCCAATGACCAGCGAGTTTGCGACCAATGATCATCGTCGTTCCCCGACCTACTTGATGAGCAAATCTCTTATCTACATGGTGCTCTCTCTATTCTCTCTCTTTGATCTTATTCTCATCCCTCTTATGATCTCAACTTTTGAAACTTAATGTATTTGGTTGTTTTGATTAGTGCTTTTTATGAGTCTGATTTTTTCGTTGTGTATGTTGATAATGACTTTCTATTTGATTTACTGTTTTGATTTTTTTGTTGATTTTATGTGAAAATGATTAAAATGCTCCCTTTGAACATGCTTAAAGTCACCTGCCCAACATGTCCAACCCAAACCACTTAAATATTTAAACAAACCCGCTGGCTTTTTGTGAACTGCAGGTCGCCTGCAGTTGGCAAATTAGTCAATCCACCATTGGCGGTTCAGAGCTTCCATTTTCCCCCTAATCCACTCCGCACTGATTCGTGCAGACCTCTAGCTCTACAGATATTACTCCCACAATAACCATAATCAACAGAAAAAAAAAAAAAAACAAACAAACAAACAAACAAACCATAAACAAAACAAAAATGGAGCAAGTTCTTATTTTCATCCAAGAAAATATTTGGAACATGTCATATCACAGTATTCAGATTTTAAAAACCTCATAGAAAGGTACTGACCTAATAAATGCAAGAGAAAACTAAAAATGTACTGGGAATTAATCTACCATGGAAAAACATATATATATATATATATGAATAAATGAAGGCAAATACATTCATTGATGAATTTGCTCTATGAAATAGTAGCTTACCCCAAAGGATTCCCATATCATCATTTTCAATTGGTAGATTGATGTGGATCCAGAAACATTCAAATTTATAGAGTTTCCAAAAGTAGTCTTCCTAGAGCGCTTGGAGGTTCGACGATCCTGCTCAAAACTGTTTCCAGATGCTTCTAAAATGGATCTTGGAGGTTCTGTGCCACGAACAAAGCATACACAAATATCCTCATTGCAATAGTTGAGCTTCCTCATAAACTCACAGCTTTCTCTTTCACCAATGCAAGCTTCACATACCTAACAGAATCACAAGACATTAGAGGAACAAGAAAATATAATAATAGATAGAAGCAGAGAGACATCCATCATAAAATTGTGATGCAATGGCATCCAACAATTGGAAATTTGAACTTTGACGGCATCAAAACACATTACTGACATAATTATTAGAGAAAGAAAACAGTGAAATATTTTAACATCTTTGACATCTACCATTCAAGAAATAAATCTTCAAATGTCACAGCACCTGTTCGTGCATCTGAGTTTATCAAAGAAGATCAGACATGCAGTGCATATTAAAGAATTATACACGCATAACTTGTTTCATAATAACAAAACTTGCAGACAAAAAAGACAGGATTCTGTAATTACCTCAGGACAAGTCTTTACCAGAAGCCGTTTAGAGTCAGCGTCACCATTTGCTTCATCTTGAGCATTCGTATGCTCCTCAGAAACTGCCATTTCTGCAGAAAACCTGATTGACTCATCACCCATGCAATTACTAATCTCAATTTCAGCAGATATGCCTTTCTCCTCTATTCCGCCCCAATCTTCACAGAATAGTTTCCAGTCATTCTCAGTAATGATAGTCAACCCATCTGTCTAAAATCCAAAACCAAAGTACAAGAGATTTAACATTAGAATGTTCATACAAGTTTTAAGTGACTACAAGCAGAAATAAATAATGTGAGACTAACACAAAGTTCAATGGCAAGACCACCAATAATTCAGTGTCTTGAACTAGAGAACAACAGAAATCTACATTAAACAAAATAGTATATTAGATTATACACTACGGAACTACAACAATGGACATCAAATGAGGTAAGCAAATCAAATGGCTGTTGTACACTTACATTCGGTGACCTTTGCAGAATCACACCACGTTTGCAAATCAGATCAGGAGGCCGTTTAAGAAGTCTTGAGTGCTGATTAAAAAAGAAAAGAAAAATAATAAAAGGACTGTTATGGTAGTTATCCTTAAGGAAAACATTGCTTAAAATCAAAGCAGACAACATAGTTTCGGCACAAAATCAAAGCAGAGGGACCAGAGCTGATTTAATTCCGATTCATAACCAAATAAATATCAAATATGATAGCCGTGGTTCCTCCCTCATACTAAGTTGGAGCCTTGTTTTTGTTTCCTCCTAGAGAATAATAGTTTATCAGGATAAGTAGAAGGGAACAAAAGGTATCCATCCAGAAAACTAAGAAATTAACAGTTGAAACTTCTCCCGGTACAGGAAAAACGCAAAGCCCTCTCGAGAACCTAAGCATCCCCAAAAGTCGATAACCAAGTGTGGCCATGGATGAGGATCAAAAACCTTAATCTAAATGAAGAGTGAGCTAAATGCATATAAAAAAATCCCTAGATGAAAGATATCCTGCAAAGGTGCCAGAATATAATTACAGAGAATCACTGCCAATAAAGTTGCATCCTACCTTCTCACATTTCAGCAAATCAATGAAATTACTCAAAGTTTCAGGTTCTGCAGAAGAAGCATTCTTGCCACTTGTAATGATGTAGCTTTTCCATTTTGACAACCATGAAGTGGGTAACAAGTAGTATCTTTTAAAAGGAAAAAGTTCTATACTTTTTCCTAAAGCTAATCTATCATGATTCAGGCGTTGCTTCAACTTGAACTCTCTGCAGCATGAATAATCAAGTCAACCAATTATGAAATCATATTAGCTTAATTATTTAAAAATGTTCACACGACCTTAGACTATCCTCCAAGCATGCTACTTCTGTGAGTTCAATACTGCATTGAGAACATGGTGCAGAGTCTGAAGGAAAAGTTGAACAACCCAAAGAATCATCAGGCTTTACTGTGTTGGCAGTGTCGTATAAAAAAAGCCAGAGATTCTCAGGAACCAGCACCCGCTTGGCACGAATAGCTTGCTCAGGCATAAGTTCCCCATGAGGGCACCTGATTGAAGCTGTTGGTCCTGCATCAGCTTCACAAGGTGATTCTACTTTTTTTCTGCGGATCCATTGATTCAACCTACAAATTGGAATTGATCAGTGTCAGTACAAACACGCCAGAAAACTACGCACGCAGAACTGAAAGATTTAAATGGAAAATCAAACAGAACAAATTGTTACATTGAAGAGGATCACTATGAAATTTGTTTCATTAAAGAAGAAGACTTAGCCATTCTATTCTCTGTGTCAAGAAGCAAATTACTCATCACAGAGAAGGAACTTGTCTGACAAGGAGTGATGCAATATAGACGGCTATAGGCAGAGCAGCTCAGAAGATTTTAACATGTTCGTATACAAGAACATACCAAATCTTAGAGACATAGTACATTGGTTCATCTAGACACTTCCCCGCAAGTGCTGCCTCTGCAAGTTCTTTCATTGATTTAATTCGATCCCTATAGCTATCAGCATTAGCTATACTATGTGCCCCTTCAAAAAGACAACCAACACAGTAGTCATCCTTGGATAGTGCTGGGCCACCCTCATACTAGATTTACAAGCATTAGAAAAATATCATCAGCAACAATAAAAGGAAAACTTAGTAGCAGGAAAAAAAAAGAAAAAAAAAATCAATTGATAGGCATATATAAGGTAAACAGAACAAACATCAGTAAAATAAAAAAGTACAGATAAATAAATAAAGTCATGAACAAGATTTAAATGAACTAATTAAATTATCTCTACAAATTCAAAGTTTCACATGTCATGTCAAACAGCTACCAGAAAAGATTGAACACGTAATCTTGCTCTAAATGGCTAGTAGGCCAGTCTCTATTCCTTATCAAAGATTTTGTTCTCCAACATTGCATAACAACCTAAGATGCCCTAACAAACAAATGATGGAGACTGACTTGGTAAAAGACTAAGCTTTTGAATCACATATCACCCTCATAACAAACAAGCTTTTAAACTTGGATCAAGCCAAACTTCAGTCAACATATAAAAGTAGAATTCAGTCGACAAGCTATTTTGAAGATTATATGCCAGACTTCATTTCTATTCAGGTAAGCTCTAGCAGTTCCACTTCATGGAACCTCCAAGGTAAATATCAACCCAGCCCAAACTAAGCCTTGTGTCCCAATTAGAAGGGATTGGCTACATAAATCCTTTTTCGTCATTTTGCTCCTGTAAAGGCTATATGTTCAGTTATAAATAATTATCGGAGAGCTTGATATACATTGTTGGGCACATTTCCTAATAACTTAAGCTTTCGAGATGAGATAATTGATGACTTAACATGGTTACCAAAGCTAAGTTGGCGGAGGTCTTGGGGTTCAAGTCTCTCCATTTGCGTTTGGTCTCTATTTGCATTCTTTCTTCTTTACGAGTATAGATGCTAGCATCCCAACAGGTTGTACGTGACGGAGGGTGTTGGAGAGCTTGATATACATTGTTGGGGCTTATTTCCTAACAACTAAAGCTTTGGGGACAATTGGTGACTTCACAAATTCATATCCTTATTTACTACCGCATCCCATGTTATTTTACAACTCCTTCATTGGTATCAGAGCATTTTTCTAGGCAATGGCTACTTTAATGGGTTCCAAACATTTCCTCATCCACAGTTAGTTACTCTGCCAGAGGATCAGTGGTTAAAACCTTGGCTTACTACCTTGAAATTATGGGTTCAAGTCTGAGGATAGCCACTGTGTGCTTTTATGCCAAAGTTTAGGTATGAACCCAATCTACCCCCTCCCAAACACCCATTAACCTCCTAATATTTCCTGATGTAGTGATCACAAACACTCTTCCTTTCCGTTACAGGTATTCGTCATGCGTAACCATACCAACTTAGTCTATTCTCTCTCAACTTATCTTTAATTGGTATTACTCCTACCATTTCATGAATATATCGCAACTTTTTCTTTCCTAGCCTTACCAAACATCACTCAAAGCCTCCTCATCTCAGCTACACTCATTTATATAAACATGTTGTTTCTTAGTTGTCCAGCATTCTGTTCCCAAAAGCATTATTGGCCTTGTAGTTGCTCTAAAAAAAAAATTTAGTCAACTTTGCTGGGATTTGTCGTTCACATAATATGGCAAAAATACTCTTCCATTCTTATTAACAATCAAATCTAAGTAACAAGAAAGCTCACTCTTTGTTATCTCCTAATTTTTAATCTTCACTTCTCCATTAAAAGTTCTACTCTATGAAGCACGAACACCTCTATGAGGGATACGTTTCAGTGACACGTGTCCGGCACGTCCCAGAGGGTGTCCCTATTTTTATTTTTATTTTTTTTTTATTTTTTTGCAGCCGGACATGCTATGGACACGTTTTGGACACCGTAGGGTCAAAAACATAATTTCTGAAACTTGGAGTGGGGGCCAATTTGTAAAAAACAAAAATTGAAACAATTAAGTCAAGCCCTAACCTGGATGTCGAACAGAAAGAGGAGAAAAGGCTAAAAAAAGGCTACTCGCTGCTCATTGCTGTAAGAATTTATGTATTTATTGATTGATTGATAGATACATGATGATTGATTAATTACAATTCCTATACAATCTATATATAGAAGAAAATGTGGTAGTAGGTGTAGTGGAGGTGATAGTGGGTTAGGTGAAGTTGAGTGTGTGGTGAAGTGGAGGTAGGTGAAGTGGAGGTAGGTGAAGTGGAGTGTGTAGTGGAGTAGGTGAAGGTGGTAGTGGTGTAGTGGGTTAGGTTTAGTGGAGTAGGTTTAAGTGGGTGAAGTAGGTGGAGAGTAGGTGGATTTTAATAATTGCTCTTGCGAAGGTATGTTCTTCGATCATCTTCTTCTTCTTTCGATCTTCTTCTTCTATTTTTCGATCTCTCTCTCTCTCTCTCAGTCACTCTCTCTTTCTTCTTCTTTCAATCTTCTTCATTTGACTTTTCTCTCCATTTTTTTTACGTTGAATGGCTCTCTCTTTCTCTCTCTGCAGTTTTGTTTATTATTTTATTTTATATATATATATATATATATATATATATATTTGTGGCTTTTCTCTGTCTCTATCTGTTATTTATTTATATTCTTTTTTTTATTTTTGGCTAATTAGTTTATAAGAACAAATTAGTTTTGTTAATTTAAATGATGTGTTTATTAATTTTTATTAATAGTGTTATTTTGTATTTTTTATTACCTTTCAATGATTTTCTTTATTCATAATTTTATGACATATAATAAATAATTTAATTATATATATTGAATGTGTCCCAGCATGTCGTGTCCCCCATTTTTTGAAAATTTGTGTGTCCATGTCGTGTCACGTGTCCGTGTTCGTATCCTTACTTCATAGGTTCTACTAAATTTTTGACTCAAGTGCTTCTCTCTAGATTTCTATATCATTGTTAATTGCTCCCTTAGTTTCACCCACTAGAATAATATCATCTACAAACAACACACATCACTGGACATCATCCTGAATATATTTAATTAATTCATCCGTAATTGAGACAAACATATAAGGACTCAAAGTTGACCCTTGATGCAAGCTTACAATGAAACCATATTATACATGTCGATTATCACCATAATATATCCTTTGGTCACACCATTTTTTTCTATCACCCAACATATTATATCTCTAGGTAGTACTGTAAATTTCTTTTCTAAATTATAAAAATTCATATGACTTCAATTATCACTAAAAGAGTATGCATCAATCGTGATGAACTTTAATTGAGGGTAGAATACGCCAATGCAACAGGAATTTGCAAAACAAAAACTACACTAGAGGTGTTAGAAGGAAATTTTAATAGATTTTCATCAAGCAATTGATGAAAAAATCTAAAATCTTCAGAAAACAAATAAGAGAAATATTCAAAGACATAAAGAACTAAAAACTAGGGTACGTATCAAACATTTATAAGGGCTACAAAAAAAAAAAGTTCATTGCATCTAACCACCAATGAATGGTGGGAAAGATAACTTGCACAAGCTGCACCCAAGAGAGAGAGAGAGAGAGCAACTAGCCAAAAGATTACTTTTGGAAAGAAAAAAAAAAAAAAAAAACAGAACCTACCTACATGATTTTAAACATAGGATAATTAATTGAGGAATTTTTTTTAAGGTACCCGGTATTAAGATTTTATAGGATAAAGACATGCAATATTTTCAAAATAATTGGGGTCCCTCAACATTTTTCTAGAGAAATTTCGAAACCAGAGAAATTGGTTTCGAAATTTCGCTGAGTGTATTTGTGTGTTCATGCTTGGAATTTCTCTGGGACACATCAGAATCCCCTTAGAATTTCTCTAAGTGTGTTTGTGTGTTCACGTTTAGAATTTCTTTGGGCATTTTCACTGAAATTTCTCACAATCCCGCAGTGTTTGAGAAAATTCACAGACTGACCATAGGGAGAGAAAATTTATACAGTGACCACAGCTAGAAAAAATTCACAAAATTACAAACAGTAACCACAACCAGAGAAGATTCATAAAATTACAAACAATGGTCACAACCAGAGAAAATTCACACAGTTCCCACATCCAGAGAAAATTCAATCTGATTCCTGAGTTGCGCTGTCGATGGAATCGGCACTGTCCACCCAGGCCACATCTCCATATCCCATATCGATGGCATTGACGATTCCTCCAACAAACTCACCAGAGAAGTTGCCGCCTTTGGCCTCTTGGAACCACCGCTTCACGCAGTCTGACACCACCATTGACAGCGGAGTTGTGCGGTGGTTCTCCCTATCATCGTTGCTGCTTCTACTGCCATTCTTCTTCTTCTTCTTCTTTTCCTTCTTCTTCTTCCAACCTCAATTCGCTGCCAATTTTGGGGAGTTTAGTGCTTTTGGGACCCAACTATTGTTATAGATTTAGCTGTTGCTACTTTGGTTTGTGTATATATATATTTGTTCTTGGTGGGTTTGGAAGATAATTCGATGAATATTTGATTTCATGATCCAAATTTTGAGGATTTATATAGGGTTTTCAGTGGAGGGAGATGAATTTTCAGACCAAGTTCTAGGAGAGCGAGCGGTTTGGTGCGAGAAGAGAGAGGAGAGAGAATAAGAGAGTGGGTGTTATATATGGGTGTGGGTGAAGGACCTTAGGCTATAAAAAAAATATTGTGGACCTCTTTCATCACTAAAAGTTGGAGTGGGTTGTTAGACCAATTTTCCCTAATTAATTCAACCACATTCTACAAAGCTCGTGTAGACTACTGCTTTACATAAAAAAATAGTTATCAAGCAGAATGCACAGCAAAGAATATTAAAATAGAATACTAAAGAGAGTGTGAAGATATAATCTAGGGAAAAATAGATACAGTCCAAAAAATCACATGCAGTCTAAATGTCTATCACTATTAGGCAACAAAATCAAGAAACAAATAGCGTCATAAAAAAAACACCAATCATAAGCAACAAATTATAAATAACCAACGAAAAGTGTAAGTTCATGCAACAGCAGCAACTCTAACCATGAAGTTCATGCAACAACTCAAACCATACAGGTTACAAACGGGATACCTTACAGAACAACATGGTCCAAGCTTTGGCCGACAATCGTTTCATGTTGCCAATCTTTGAAACTGGGACTTTTCCATGTAAGCATTGGATAGGGTTGTTTTCAATGATCCTGCAGGAGACAACAAAATAAGCAATGAAGAGATTGAACTTTTCTTTCTTTCTTTTTTTGGTTTGCAAAGGAACGACAATAAGACTCATCACCAAGTCATGAAATACTCCCTATTTTTGTTCAAACAAAATGAGTTATGAAAAAAGGGATGAAAATTTTAAAAAATGCTGAAAACATGTGGACGCTTGGCAATCTAAAATTGAAAGAAATTGAAAAAAACTATTGTTATTGGGCAGAACAAACCACTAGTCATTTACTAAACCAAATCTTCTCAAAAATGGCAATAGGAGAATAAAATCATCATGGGCACTTGTACTCACGAGGGACAGATATTGTCAGCCCAATGGCGAAGCCAGTCAGTTGAAATCCAGAAATATGGTTCCCCAAGTGACTGGACAGGCGCTTGAGAAAGAACTGATCGAACTTCCTGCCGGCGCTCAGTGATGCAATTCAACTCTAAATCCTTCTTTAATTTGTATTGTTCGCAAGCATCAAGATACGACGAATTTAATTGTTCCATCTCTTCACAAAGATGAGATGGAAGAGAAACACCATTTTGTGGAGCCACACCACTACCATTATCCATTTTCATTCCACCAAACTCCATTTGTACATTTTCACCACCATTCTTTGAATGCCTTAGAATATACATCAACATGTAGGCATCACTAGATGAGAATGTCTGTACAGAATTAACATTATATTCTGAAGATTTTGACTGACCATCATCTACATGATTTCCAGTCACAACTGCATCAATTGACTCAGAGCATGGTGGATGGACAACTTGCTCAGTTTGAACAGATTTAGCGGCATAATTTGAAGAACCTTCACTAAATGGATGCCGCCCCAAGTTTGAGACATGTTCATCATCAAATTCCCACCACTGCCCAGTATTCTCATCCTTAATATGCGCTATGTAATGACCACTATTTACAGCAGAACCCTTGTGAATCAAGACAGCTGACAAGTCATAAATTAATGCTGATTGAGAATGCTCAGACAATCTGTGTCTCATATCCAGTTCCCCAGGAAAACAGAATGCAGAAGTGATTTTCTTCTTGGTTGTTGTCTACAGAAGCAAATAAAAAAAGCAATGCAGCAGGTTAATTTCAAATACAAAAATAAAAAACTACGAAAAAAACTAAATCCACAAGAACTAACTACAGCACTAACATAGCTGGCAGAATCCTTCTCCCAGAGTACTCCGTGTATAAAGCATACAGAAAAGACAGACAAAGGAGCTCAACAAGAGCAATGCTGCTCAGTGTCAGATTTCATTAAAGAGCCAACTATAGTCCGCAGGTATATAACCATAACAATGCCTACATTGCATAGGCAGCAGCCAGACTAGTCACTTAGGTTTTGCCCACCTAAATAATATGTATTAGCATCACTCCAGCTAGTTTTTATAACCAATTTCACAATTAAATGCAACTGTTTTTTATGATGCCATGGTGAAACCAAATCCAGAGTGGGCTTTATAATAAAACAACGATTCAAACAAATTCTTTGAAAAAAATAGGGGAAGTAAAGTGGTTCAAAATCAAGGATGAAGTAACAAAACATGTCAACCGCACCAGAATCATTAGTAACAAGAATAAAAATAAAAATTATCGGTGTGTTGTTTTGGTTTTGCTCATAAATGGAAACATTTTAAGAATATTTCAGAAACATAAAATGAAACAATGAAAATTTTGGAAATCTAAATAGATGTTTGGAACAAAGTTGTCAATCCATAGTTTTTATTTTTCGGTTTTAAATTCATTTGAACTTACATGTAGCTGAATGTCAAGACACACGTAGTGTAGACATTAATATATATACATATATATATATCCAAAAAACTCCTAAAATGAAGAAATTTAAATGAAAGAAGTGTGATATGATTGTCTGGTACTTGTGTGAGGTTTAAAAATACAAAACATAGATAGGAATATACACCATACTAGTAAGTACCTTTGGAAGGAAAACACAACGCTTGAGCTGAAAATTAAGGACAACAGGCAGTGACCGCAACTTAATGCTGCGGGTAGCATCAACTCGAGCTTCACATGACTCACAATAGTATTGATTTTCTCCTTGAAGCTCTTCTACACTCAGGTAATCGTCCAAACTGTCATCTAAACTTTTTAAACCCTTGACATTCAACTCCAGCTCATAGAAGTCTTCCATTTTGGATGAAGCTTCAGAGTCTTTTCCACATTTCGAGCACCTAAATAATAGCAAACAAAATAACAAAGTCATCACTTTTCATGTATAGACTCTAGGAGGTAAATGCACTTGCTCAACACAGAAAAATACACTGTGTGTATTTTTTTAAATTATATATTCTTACTATTTATAATTTTATTTTTGATTACCAATATATCAGGCTCCTTGATTAGAAATAGCAACCTTGAATGGGAGATAGACCAATTTTTACCAGCAGATTGATCTGAGGAGATTATGCTATAAAAAGCAAATGCATGCCATCTTGGTATTGTAAATATTCTATACCTAATCAACTTGTTTCTCATCAAATCTCACCACTTTTGGTGACAGTTCTAGGTAAAATAAGAGAGTTATCTTTCTCACCATTTCTTACCTAATCTATAAAACAAACATGAGAAAGATTTTCCTCATCCTTTCTTATCATTTTCTCACCAAATCACCTCATCCAAACAGAGTGTTTACCCTAACCCTAATTTCTCATATTTTACACTTCCGACTGGTAAAATAATGATAATGCTTGCAAACCATCAAGCCTTGATTCATCGAATTGCCTTTCCAAATTGTAACATAAACTAATCAATCAAGCTGTAACAGATCAGATGGAAGGCACCAAATTTTTACAAGTTTAGAAAAGTTAAAATTTTCAACATTCTGCAGAGAACAAAATGATAACAAGGAAGATGATAAATTCAAAAACTTAGTCTCAGAGTAAGAGCAAACTTACGTGGTGACATGTGACACACTCCCACGGAAAATATCTTGTACAATTGTTCTTGCCTTGGAAAGTTTTGAACAGCTCAAACATCGCTCAAGCAAGGAGAGAAGTAAGGTAAGGAACTCATGGCTGTCCTGTTGTGTTTGGGGTCGTTTACCCCCTCTTAGGCCTTGTTTGGCCCCATTTTGTGCTATTTTTGGTGAACTTCGGGACCCATTATCTAGCTCTAGTGTTTTAATAAATGGTCCTGAATCAACAAAAGACATTTTACTAGCATGCAACTGTGCAAAGAGCCGAGCAAGTTGATCCAACACTGGCTGCTCTTTCAGAACATTTGGTTCCACAGAGAAAACACCTTCCCTAAATGACTTATTCATGTACAAGCATTGAAGTATGCTGTTTGCATAGCACGTTGCCCCCAGATTAGTAAGGCCCGCTGGTGAGCTGGTGGAAGCACGAAGTTCCTTGGATGGGTCAGGACCAAGTGAATGAACAATCTCTGACATCTTCTGCCACAAGCCAGATTTCCGACTTCCATTGAGAGGTGGAACCAGTCCACAAAAGCAATTAGGATTGTCTTTTGTATTCACTCGACAACCTTGACAAATAGGCTTCCATATCATGTATAGCTGATTTAAATCATCTTCTGTAAATTGACCAGTTGAGTGAATTTTCCTACACAATTCAAAAAATATACATAAAAAATATCAAAAATTATGATTATTACGATAGCATTTGGCTAACAATTCAAAGCTGACTTGTTGCTTTTTTGAAGCAAGAATTCAGTAAATTTATGCGTTCAAAAATTAAGTTGCAGTAGTTAGTATCCTCAAAGTACATTTTTTGCTTTCTTGAGAAAGAACCAAGCCAAAATTGTTGAGCATTGATATCTCAAAAATGGACTTAAGGTGACAAATCCAAGGCTACTCCTCTTGCTTATTGAGCCAAAATCATTTTCCACATACTTCTCTGCTCTACTAGGCAAGAAAAAAAGTGAATCCCCCCATTAATATATACCCCCCATTTCCAGAGCAAGATGACCAAGATAACACGTTATATTCCAAAACATACTTTTCTTAATAATTTTATGCAAAAGTCAAAAGAATATATATTTTTGTTTCAAAATAAAGTTAATAGTAGATAAATAAAGATGAATGCTGCATTTTATTTTACCAAAAAATCTCTGCATTGGCTTGTGCACTGTCGTCTGGCCTATGCCTTTTATTTTTACTTCGGGTAGTTGGCCGATGGCTCATCTTCATATCAATGAATTTTCAACTCTGAAAATTGACAATAACAAAACAATACGAATTGTGTCACTATACATTTTTCAGCTCACCCAATTTCAATGTGAACAAAAAATGTGGCATTGTATGGAAGCTCAAAGGAAAATGTTCCTAAAATCAATTATTATCTAAATAACAGGAGAGAATAAAATAACCACACAAAAAAACCCTCAAAATTCAAGAAACAAAGCAAAAAGTTCGACTCTTTTAACAGAACATCAACAGCTACCTAGAAACCATTTTTAAAAAAAATAAAAAAAACCTCGAAATTCATGAAAACATAGGATACACGGACTCTAGGTACGAACAAGAAAACAAAAAAAATTAATTAGGGCTAATTTTTCTACAGTGAAACATTTTAATTGAAATTGAAATTGAAATAGAATTGCTCGAACAGACGATTGATGGTAGAAAGAATCTGAGACAGCACTCAAAGTATACAAGTGTGCATATACAAAGTATATATATATGGATATTGCATGCAAGCTAGAGAGAGAGAGAGAGAGAGAGAGAGAGAGAGAGAGAGACCTGGGAAGATGAATAGAAGTCTCTGGTGTTCCCGATCAGAACTTTTTGAAGGAATGAAGTGTGTATTTTGGTTCCCAAACCCCAGACCCTGAGAGACCAAAATTGGCCTTCGTATGTGTATACAGGTGCAATATATATATATATATATATATAAACAAAATTATCACACGGTGATACTTTTAAAAAATGATTACAATTATTTCTTTTACATTATATGTTTTTTATGAAAAAATAAAAATTAAAATTAATTTGATAACAATACACACGGAAAAAATATTTTAAAATTTATTAAAAAATATCATCATATTTGGCTTCAAAAAATTGAATCTGAGTTTTTGTATTTTTTTATTTTTTATGAATTTTTTTCATATTTTATATAAATTTTTTTTTTAGATAAACATAATCTAAATACACTTAAAAATGATATTATTTGTGAAAAAAAAATTAAAATTTTTCAAAAAAATATAAAAATTCAATATATTTTTATATTTTCTTATATTCAATGAATTTTGTAAAGATTTTTGTACAATTTTTTTACTCTATTAGTAAATTAAGATTAGAGATTGTTTGGGTGTCCTAAATAAGTGCACTTTTTGTCTTTTTGAACTAAAAAATTAAGGAAAAAAATATAGATGTTTGGGTTAACTTTTTGACTTTTTATGAAAAAATGTGTAATAAAAAATTGTAAAAATTGGTTTGTAAGAGAAAATTAGAATTGGGAGTTGTGCAGCCGTAATTGTTGACTTTTTGGTGAATAGTGTTAACTTTTTAACTTTTTGAGTAACTTTTTGACTTTTTGGCTTATTCTGGACCTGCCAAACTTGGCCTTATCCAAAAAATTTTAAAAAATGATAAAATCATTAAAAATGCAAAAATACAAATCAAAATCTCATAAAACTATTTTTTAAAACTCAAAACCAAACGGGATTTTTTTTCTGAAAAACATTAACCATATAAAAAAAAATTTTGGGTAGTGCTACATACACCAATTAGTGTACTAACTAGTGTACTAATTAGTGTTATGCTATTGTTACTAACCCCACCTATTAATTAAATTACAAATACCCAAACCTTTAAAATTATGACACATCATTTGTTAGTACACTAATTGGTACATATAGCATTATTCTTTTTTTTTTTACTAAATAAGTTTTTAAGTTTTTTTGAATTTTTCACATAAAATCTATTTTGAAAACTAAATCAAACATGTCTTGGTTTTTTATTTGGATTTTTTATGAAAGGTTTCATTTTTATTATATCAACATTTTTTTGTGGTTTGAAAAAAATATACGTCAATGATTCAAATAGAGATAACATTGACATTTAACACAAACACACACACACAATATATATTTTACCCTATCTTCTTTTTCTTTTTTTTTTTCCTTTTTTGCATTTAAGCATAAAGATTATATCAATGTGAATTACAAAATTACCATCACCCTTAACCTTAACCTTGTCTTTAACGCGCGAACTCTTTCTTTATCTTTTGTTCTCTCACAATAAATTCTTACTTTTTAAAATAATAATAGATCACAAATCGCTAGTCAACGTTATTTTCTTTATCTTTTGTTCTCTCACAATAAATTCTTACTTTTTAAAATAATAATAAATCGCAAATCGCTAGTCAAGGTCACTGTCTTCTGTTTCTTCTCCTTTTCCATACACCTTCAGCGCACAACTATCATACTGTCACCCAGTCTCGTCCTCATGTTTCGTTATCTTCCTTTTCTCCCGTCCATCTCATCATAACTCTATAACAACCAAAATGAGTGAGATTGGCACTGTCTGAGTTTTGTAGTTCTACTTGGTAGCATTAGACTAGTCAATCTCATGCAACTTAATTGTTGATCTTGTGCCACTTCTTGCGATTCATTAAGGTTTGTTATTGTTGAACATCAATTCACTGTCCCTTCATAGCTAAGTTTTTTATTTTTTTATTTTTATATTCAATTTGTGATTGTCGTGGTTATAACAGTGGTAGCGGAGGAAGGTAGAGTGGAGTGACTGTAGTGCTTGCAAATGAGATTAAGGTTTGTTATTGTTGAACATCAATTCACTGTCCCTTCATAGCTAAGTTTTTTATTTTTTTATTTTTATATTCAATTTGTGATTGTCGTGGTTATAACAGTGGTAGCGGAGGAAGGTAGAGTGGAGTGACTGTAGTGCTGAAGGGGAAGAGGGAGAGAGGCATCTTTGCTTCTCAGTTGTGCACGCCACCACCAGCAGTGCTGCCCAAATCATTCTGGCTTTACATAGGAAGAAGGTTTTGTCTCCGATCATTATGGCTTCCTTCCATGTTTTTCAAATCAACTTGATTTGCGAATTGTACATAAAAAAATTCCCATGAGAACAAAAACAAAATTTATTCTTTTACTAGTAAAATGTACAAGACTTTTTTACCCCCATAATACTACAAGGAGGGCAGTATGACAAAAACCACACAAATTATAGAAACAATTGACGGAAAAGGCGCATATTCAGCATCTCCAGAAATGAAAAGAAAAAAAAAAAAAAAGCCGAAAGGAGCTCAGATCATCAGGCCCGTTACCAGTGCTCTACTCTGATTGCACCAAATTAGAACCAAAACAAAATAAGCAAAAAATGACTCAATTTGTAAAACCGAAGGCACTGTCTCTTGCAACATGATGAGGCATCACAACATACAGTGCAGTGCTGCAAATAAGGGCACATTACGCATGCATTTGATTTGAACTTTCCTTTGACCGGTGCTTCCGTTTTTTGCTCCTGAATCCATAAATCAGCATTATAAGAGAGATTGAGAGTACGTGGATGTTAGAATGAGAATGGTTACTCTAAGATATGTGCAAAGTGCATCAACAGTACTTGTCATGTGAGCCAGGATCCCGACAAGATTTCAGCTTCCGATCAACGTGCTTCATATCTGTGGCAGTAGGGATCTGAAGTTTACTTACCTGCACAAGTAACCAGCAAGAAGTTTCAGGTACGCTGATGAAGGTGAAAAAGAGCTAGCTATACTACTGTGCACCTCAACACTAGTGTATATTCAAAATAAAGAACACAAGCATTATAGCTCTTTTTGGAATGAAGTGGCGGCGCTGGCAGTGGAAGTGGTGGTGGCATTGATAAAACTTTAGTCCGAAAAATATCTGGGACTTTTAAAAGTGGAGAATGTTTTCCACCCAAATAGGCTTTGTTTTTGTTGACCACGGAAAACAATTTCTGTTTTTTGCTGTACCAAATGCCAAACAATGCAAAAAAAATGTTTTCCACTCAAACAAAACTAGTGTAAATAATTAATTTCATGCATTGTCCCCCTGCAAGAGAATAAAGAACACAAGTATTTGCATTAACATCAAATTAAGATTGTTGTGACAAGTAAAATATTTGTACCAAAGAATCTATGGCATCTAGAGAAACGGTGAGCTCTGAAATAGAGTGTGTAGCATGCTGACGAGACATGAGGCTCAGAAGATAACTGCAAAGAAATTCAATTCGACAAAAATCATTATTTCAAACGAAATGGAATTGAGATACAAGAAATCTATTTGATGTATGCCTCAGGAATTAGTTCAAACCTTTCCAAGTCAAGAATCCCATGGACCTCATTTGACCTGCGTAAGGCAGCCAACGCCAACTGCACCAAGGTAAAAAATAAACACAAATTAAACAAGCTGTACGGATGAAAATTTCAGCAGTTCATTATAAAACTCTTTTAGAAAATTTACAATTAATACCACTCCCAAAAATGCACAAATTCTTTTGTGACTCAATTGGCTAAAAAAACTTCAATGCAGACACAAGGGCAAAGTAATTGAAAATTACAAAAAGCAAAAAAGAAAAGACACCAAATCAAACAAAACCTCAAAACCTTCATATTTTTTCCTAGAGACTTGAAGCCACTCCCAGCAATAAAAGTTTCTATCATATCTTTTCTTATTTTCAAAAAAAGAAATAAAAAAAGTTTCAAAGTTTGAAGTATTAAAGCAAACAAGTTCTTTCATTACAGGAGGATGTTTGAATAATGAATACCTGCCCAGGAGGGAATAGAAGTGGTGCATCAGTAAGCATGATTTTGTCTGCTTCCACCTTAGCAGTTTCACTCGTATCCTACAGATACATTGAAACATTGAATATCTTCTGAGGGGAGGGGGAACTAAGAACATCAGGAGGGGAACTAAGAACATTATGGAGATTCCCCATTTAGAGCAATTCTTTATGACATGCTGTAATTAAGCTTAAGTATGAGATTCAAGGAAATGGTTAGGGGTTCTCAAGTGGTAAATTGGGAATTCCCGATCTCCTTGGAATTTCATTTCTCAAGGTTTATTGCATTTTTTCTTGATCCATTTGTATTATTGTGAGAGATGGGGAAAATGTTCATTTTTTGGAGAATGATTGGAGGGGGCATGCTCCATTTGCTCATTTGTTTCCTCGATTGTACTGTGTTGCATTCTCATAATGTTTCGATTGCCTATAAGATCTTCTCTTATTCAAATTCAATTTCTTGAAATTTCTCCATTTTTTAGGAAGGCTAATGAACTTGCTTCTTTGCTATCTATTCTTGAGGGTGTTTCTTTGAACAATGCAACAGATGATAAGAGGTTGTGAATTCTTCATTCATCCGGAATTTTCTTTTGCAAATCCTCCTTTCTTTGATAAGTTAATTAATGTTCCAAACATACCACTCTTTTTTCCCCATTAAATGATCTCTAGTGCAAATGTGCCGCTTAAAGTTAAAATATTGGCATGAACCAGGGCTCATGAGAAATTATACCAATGATATGAACAGAATTGCTATTTACATTCACAATGTTGTCTGTGTGTAGGAGGGGGGAGGAAAGTATTGATTACTTATTTTAGCATTTCCCTGATTTGGTGGGGGTGGCTTGGGTGTTACTGTTTTTTCTTTTTTTGTTAAGTTGCTTTGTCTGAGCCAAGACAAATAAAACAAACAAAAAAATGGCATGATCATCCCCCACCCACCAGCATTACAGAAAAACATTAGCAAAAGCAGCAGGATTAGAAATATTATACCACTTCCAGGTTGGCAACTGCTTTCTGCCCCTTCATTTTCTGATGAGAAATGCTTATTTTTTCTTATCAACATGTGTTGAAAAAGTGCAATGAGCACAGACAATAAAAAATAAATAAATTCTGTGAGACAAAAAAGATGAAACAACATTGAGTTCAGTAATTTGGATATTAGATACCATCTACCAGGAGACTATTTTTAATTTAATTAGTGTGTAACTGTGTAACCTAGAACAAAGATTGTTCTGGTATGTGGAATGAGAATGAGAATTAGAATAAGGAAGTGTAGGCTTTCCTTTCCCAAATTAATCATGTAGCAACACATTTCTATGATCATTATGACCTATTTGTACACTTCGTGGGTCCATTTGTATACTTTTATAGTTTAGGGGGCAAAGTGATACTCTTCAATAGTTTAGGGAATTCATTTGTACACTTTATACTTTAGGGGGTCGAAGTGATACTTCTTAATAGTTTAGGGGGTCTTCGTGTAAATAACCTGTGTGTAATATAGTAGTACGTAGTCCAATTGTAACACTTCTAGGGATCAGATAACAAGAGTACCAACACTATATTCAGTTAAGAATCACCTTTAGCATTTGAAGCTGCTCATCATTTACTTGAAGAAACTCCTACAGGACCAAGAATAATTGTCATAATTTGCAAAATTGCAGTACAAGATACAAACCAAATTAAATTAATCACTGATGAGGCCAACTATAAGCAAACTACTATGGTTATGCAGAAAAGTGATTTAAAAAAAGAAATGGAAATCAGGTGCAAAAAACTGATTGGAAAACTGACCTCCAGATCACTAACAAAACCATCAATTGCACGATATGGTGCATAAACGATAAGATCAAATCCTACACTCTGCAATTCAAACGTAAATTTTAAAAACAACACAAACCAGAAACAAGGTAAGATAAGAATGACGTGCAGGTCATATTCATGCCTGAAGAACGAGCATCTCATTATTGAGGATCATTTGATGATCTTGTTCAATCCCCTTGCCAAGCTCCTCTGCTGATACATGATTTTCTTCTGCTTTACAAGCTGCATATATGCAGGTTAACCTGGGTGCATAAAAGGTCGTCTGATTCAGTTTGTAATGAGTGACAATCAAGGAATTCCATTTCAAAGTCAAGCATCAATGAAAATAATCTGCTACCATATGAATGACATATAAAAGTGAAGAACATTCAGATAGGATAGAGGTTCACTGGACGAATCAAGTTCGAAATCTTTTGTTTCTTTCTAGTTTCTACTGGATGAAATAAAAAGCCAGTTTTCAAATTGGGCCATATAAGCATCAGACAACTATAGGCCACGATGGTGAATTAGATCTAAATCAATCTTACATAATGTGTTTTGGATGATGTTCCATAACCGACCATTGTAGATAAAACCTTTTGAAGTATATAAGAGCTGTTGCCTGTACAAAAGGTACCATTTTCAGAAAGAAAAATATTAAATCATGATATACAACCCCAAAATAAATAAATAAAGACTCAGAGCCACATACCTGAATTTTTCGTGGGAATTTGAAGGCATCACATACATCTTGAATTTTGAACTCATAGAATGCCCTTAAAAGTTGTTCTTCTTCAGTCTTAAGTGGTTTAGGACGAGAATGCTTCTCAACTACAGTGAGAACATAAATAAAACGGCAAAGAAATTTTGATATCTAAAACCAAACAACTCAATAATTTTTTAGAACATACAAATTGTACAAAAGAAAATTCTCGATAACGTGTTTACCATTATCTTTTGCATCAATTTGAGGTTCAGGATACGACCAGGACCCATCAAGATCAACTTCCATTCTTGTTGTTCCATACTTGAAAGTATATTGCATGATCAGTGTCGCAAGTATGATAACTTTGATATGCTAACTAAAAAGAGTTCTTCTTAATAAAAATAAAAATAAAAATTTGATTGTGACAGGTACTTGTGATAATCACAAGATAATGAATTTACAGAGAACAATAAGAGCAAGAGGAACAAATATTTGTAATAGCTACTTGGATATATATATATATATATATATATTAGAGAGAATGAAGAAAGATTTTCTCCATACCTTCTCCAGGGTTTGCCTTGCTCTTTGATTAGCAGCTTTGTACCTCTCCTTCTACACAAAATCAATTACCAAAATTACTTTTAGAAGGACAAATTGAAAAAATATCTAAAAGCTACACCTTAAAAATAAAATAAAAAAATAAAAAAACATTTTCTTTATCACCAGTTAGAAATTATTCCTTCTTTGGTTGCCAAGAAAATGCAGGGAAAGAAAAGAAAATCTAAAATCTTAAGGCCAGAGAAACGAGTTTTGTACAGTTTCTCAGAAACCTCAAAAAGTCGAGGCAGAACAATAATTTAAGGTTTTCTTCTGTTTTTTCCTCCATTTTCACAGCAACCAAACAGAAAATCAAGGGCATTAATATGTACCAGATCTTGAGGAGAGAAGATCCACTTGGCTCGGTGAGTGGAAGTCAAAAAATCAGCCATTCGTTGAAGAACCCTAGGAGGAGTCACGCCGTAATGAAGGGCTTGGGTTTCCTTCTTCAATTTTGGGTGACGGCAATCGGGGAGAGATGCTAGACGCGAGGCGAGGTGAGGCGGGTAGATGACGGAAATCTCCTATGTTATTTTCATTTTAGTCCTTGAATTTTAAAAAATGAACAACTTGTGCCCAGTATCAAGACTGGATTGTTCAGTCCGCGCGGTGGCGTGTCATGTCGTGGGCTCACTTTTGAGTTCGAACTATTTATATTTAGGGCAAATTACAAACACCTCCCCTGAGGTTTAGTGAAAATACAGATTTCCCTTTGAGGTTTGAGAAATTACATCCCGCCTCCCAATGTTTATATTTTCATAACAAATTGCCCCCTGAGGTTTTTATTTTCATACAGATTCCCCCTAATTTTTCCTAATTTGTTATGAAAATTTGACCTTCATGGAGCAATTTGTAATTTCTCAAACCTCAAGGGGGAATTTGTATTTTCACCAAATCTCGAGAGGGTGTTTGTAATTTGCCCTTATATTTAAAAAAAATGTTATAAATTTTAAAAAATTTATTAAAAATTTTATTAAATATTTAAAGGTAAATTACTGACACTTTTTGAAGTTTATATTTATTATAGTTGCTCTCTCACCTTTTAAAAATTACAAATTTAAAGTTTTATTACAAATTTCCTTCAACAAATTAATTTTTGTAAATATCAATTTTGCCCTTCATTGGGTAAATTACATTGACACCCCTCACATTTTAGAAATTACAATCTCCTCCCTAAAATTTAAAGTAGCATTACCAATTGCCTCTTTGGTTAGTATTAGTTGGAAAAAAAAATTTCATTGAAAAAAATATTAATTGCAAAAAAAATTAATTGAAAAAAAAATAATTGAAAACATTTTTTGTTAGTAAAGTTTTTAAATCTCTATTTAAAAATCAACGTAAGCTCATTTTTTAAATTTACCTTTTTTTCTCAAATTTACAAACTGAGATAACTATTTATAAATCAAAAAAATTGTCAAACAAGTTTTTATGACAATTTTTAAAATTTTTGTAAATATAAATTGAAAACTGAAAACGAAATAGTTACCAAACAGGCTTGATGGTAAAAATGTCGTAAAATTAACAAATAATTAAATAAGTTACCAACATAAGCAATGACTTATCAAAAGGTTCTTAGGTTATGTATGGTTTGATTTTTAGAATTTTTTTTTTAAAAATTAAAAATTAGTTTGGTTAAGAAATAAAAAATAAAAAATAATTATCGTTTTTATATGATTTTTATCTTTCGAGTGGTTAGAAATAATTTTTTAAAAATTTAATCGAAACAGTCATACGTATGTATATAACCTGCCCAAAAATGAAAATGATAATTATTTTTTACCCTTAAATGATAATTATTTTTTATTTTTTATTTCTTAACGAAATTAATTTTTAATTTTACAAAAAATTATAAAAATCAAACTATACATAGCCTAATCTTTTGATAAGTCATTTCTTACGTTGCTAACTTATTTAATTATTTGTTAATTTTACGACATTTTTACCATCAAGCCTGTTTGGTAACCATTTCGTTTTCAGTTTTTAATTTATATGTATAAAAAATTTAAAAACTGTCATAAAAATTTGTTTGATAATTATTTTGGTTTATAAATAGTTGTCTCAGTTTGTAAATTTGAGGAAAAAAATGTAAATTCAAAAAATAAGTTTACGTTGGTTTTTAAACAGAAATTTAAAAACTTTACTAACAAAAAAAAATTTCAATTAATTTTTTTTTCAATGAATTTTTTTTCCAACTAATACTAACCAAGGGGGAAATTGGTAATGCTACTTTAAACCTTAGGAAGGAGATTGTAATTTCTAAAATGTGAGGAGTGTCAATGTAATTTACCCAATGAGGAAAAAATTGGTATTTAAAAAATTAAATTGCTAAAGGGAAAAATCTGTAATGAAACTTTAAATCTCAAGGGAGAGATGTAATTTTCAAAAAGTGAGAGGGGAACTGTAATAAATATAAATCTTGGGGGTGTCATTGTAATTGACCCAATATTTTATATGGATATGAGTTTTATATAATGTGAGTCTCACATTTATGTGAGACATTTAATAAAATTTTTAATAGAATTTTTGAAATCTCTAATATTTTTATATAATTTAAGATTTGTTAGGTATATTATTTATATAAATAAATAAATAAATAAAATAATAATAATTATGTATTTGAATAGTTTTATATATATAAAAAATAAATGGTGAGAAAAAATAAATGATTCATATAAAATTTATTTAAACACGTAATTGTCATTATTCGATTGACTTAAATTTTAACATAAATGATAGACTTGATGAATTTTAAAATATGAACCATACCAATTATCAAAATAAGACCCAAAAATGAACCCACAACACAGACTAAATCATCTAGTCTTGATTTTCAACTGGAAAGAAGATGGATACTTTAAGAAATTAAGGGTTAGTTATATTTTTCAATTCTATTATTTTTTAATTTTAAATTGAACAATTTTTTTTTACACTTAAGTGTAATTTTAATTTTATTCTTTTGTTCAAAATGAAAATTAAAATTAATAATTTTAAACACTTTTAAGGTATACATGTAGAGAAAAGTAACAAAAATTTAGACATAATAATGAGCAAATTGCAATGAGCTTAAAATATAGAAATTAAATTATTCAAATTAAAATAATAAGAGCTAAAGTGAAATTTTGATCAAATTATAGAGGTAAAAAAATGTAATTAACCCAAAAAATAATTATTTTATATTATGTTACAAAATTAATCTTGTATAGGTATCACTTTTTTATTAAAATGGAATATTGTGCTTAAATTTCTCCCTTAACTCTAATAATCAAGGCAATTCATAAATAAAATGTTAATTTATTTCATTTTATATGAATAATTTAGTACAAAATATAATTAAATGTCACTTTGCTAAGCTAATGAGAGGGAGGAGTACTTTTAAGGGAAAATTTGTCTAACATCCCTCCTCCATTTTTAGTAATGGAAGAGATCCACAATATATTTTTTTTATAGTCTAAGGTCCCTCTATATATCACACCCATTCTCTCATTCCCTCTTTCTCATAGATTTTACTTTCTCTCTCTTCAAACCCTACATCTCTCTCCTCTCTCTTATATTTTAACCTCATTAATGGCGACTTTGACTCCGTCAATGGCAGCCTCGGCGATTTTCGAAGCCAACTCAATCACACACATCTCGGGCTCAGTGTTTGATGTTAGTTCATTTGGAAATCACAATTCTTAAAGCTTCACAAGATGGCAAATCATGCTTTCAGGGTGGGAAAGAAGCTTTGGAAAGAGATTTCATATGGGACAATTTTACTCAAATTGGAAAATATGGAAGATAATTTATCCGAATTGTGTATTCATTCGATTTCGATTTCAGGCAATGAATTCAAACAGAGAGGTTAAATCATGGTGATACCATGTGGGTTGACATTGGGATCACATATTATAGTGGTAGGAAAGGCTAATCGGGCTCACCCAAAGACTGGACCAAAGATTGCATTGGTGAGAGAGAATGATTACTCTGTGCAGAGAGAAATTCTATGTTATTCAATTTTCTCTGGGTAATTTTGAATGAACGTTTGTTCATATCTCTCTCTCTCTCTCTTGCTACTTGATCTCTATGCCGTCTCACTAAGCTTTAAGCAGTTCGATTTTATCTCTCATTCTCTCCAGAGAAATTATCATCCAGAGAAATTCAGAAATTTCTCTGGAAAAGGTTAGAGAAATTCCCATAATTTGCTTGACACCAAGAGTGAAGGCAAACAAAGCATGCTGCTCAGGCGTCTGACCATCCTTGGAAATACCGGCTTCAAAACTACCAATAGTGGAGCTGATGAAATTACGATGGCCAGGAGCATCAATGACAATGCAATCGTGGTTGGTGGTCTCAAACTTCCACAAAGCAATATCAATGTTCCTTGTTGAAAAATATTTCTCCAGCTGCAAATCATGCATGGATATACTTCGCTTCAAGAAATGATGTTGAAAAAAGAAAACATGATGGGATGAAGTGCACAAACATGCCTGCAGAAGTATCCTTGATGTTGATACAAGAGTTAAACTTGTTGTTGTTAGGGGAAATAAAAGCAAATCAGTGTTGTTTGATACTTGCATTCTTACCACGTTCACATTCTCTTTAGAGAAATTCCCAGTAGATTGAATTTTCTCTGGAGGGACCTTAGACATTATGAAAATATTAGATATTCTTTATACTATAAAATCTTAATATAGGGACTCTAAAAAAAAAATCCCCTACTTTTAAACCAAAATTTATCTTCTGTAATACAAAAATAAAAAATAAAAAAATCCCCTACTTTTAAACCAAAATTTATCTTTTGTAATAAAAAAAAAAAATTCCGTTCCCAAATATACTCATTTTGTTATGCCTAATATTTGCTTAGATTGGTCAAGTTACTATATTCAACTAGTAAGTCATTTGACTCTTGCTTGTGAATTTGATTTGATTTACAATAATGATTTATAAAACATGTGAATATATAAAATAATTAATTTTAATCCTTTTTTTTTTTTGAAGAATTTATATATTTGTGCATTTTACAAAATTTCTCTTTAATTATATAAAATCTATTTATTTTGTTGTTCTATTCTTGAGGAATCAGTATTTGCCAAAGCAATACAAACTGCTACCACCACTATTTAAGGAGGTATAAATATTGAAGCTTACTTGACAGTTACCTCTCGTATTCATATTCATATTGTACTCAAGACTTGGCACATCTAAAAGAGAAAAGAAACTGAAATAGAAATAGAAATACACAATTTACATATATTTGTTTTTATATATGAAGCACAAATAATTTTGTCTACTCTCTGTCTCATCTTCTGTTTCATATTCCTCAGATATTGTTATTGTTTTGTCACTAAAATCAATGGCTAAAAAAATATGAAATAGAGGCTTCATTTGGTTATTTTAGTAGACTGCTTTAGTTTTTGGTTATTTTAGTAGACTAAAATATTTGTGTTTCGGAAGAGAGTTGGATTTTTTTATAGTTGAATGTGATATTTGTGAGAGAAAAAATAAAATTATTGATGTGACATTTTATCTTATTGACAATTTTAATCTATTTTATCTTTTTATAAATTTTAGCCAAAAAAAACCAATTGTTGACTTCCCAAATGCAACCTTCCTTTCTTTACTACTAGTTATTACTACCATTAATTAACTAATATGAGAAATATTGTTCCATAGGCAAATAGTAAAAATGTTAACTACTTCTTCTTCTTCTTCTTCTTCTTCTTCTTCTTCTTCTCTTAAATAAAACGGACCACGAGAAGGTCACTGGTCATGGATACTGGAGGTGGAGGTGGCAATGCCAATAGTAAATCACCGGAGTCATATGATGGCCTCCACCTTGACCACCAGCACCACCATAATCATCATTTGTTCGAACGAGTTAGGAGCATTGGGCTGTTATTTGGGATTATTGTTGTTACATGCTATATGCTTTATCCTTCGGCCTATCCTTTTCAATTTTCGCCCCACTCTTCGTACAATCAGGTTCGTAAGTTTGCACACACAAACTAGTTTCTATTTTTAAAATAAAAATTAAAAAAATTGACATAGCAGAGTTTCAATCTCCGTCTCCCTTCCTCTTTCCAAGCAATTAGTGTATTGTTCTTTTGACTATTTAAAAAACAAAAATGACATAAATTGAGATGATTACACTTTTCTTTTTCTTTCTTTTTTTTCCTTTTTTAAATTAATATTTTTGTCTAGGACAAGGGAGGAGTTAAGTTGGAGAAAATTTTGGAAAAGGTGGCCATGGCAGACAAAACAGTCATAATAACAACTCTAAATGGAGCATGGGCAGCCCCAAATTCTATATTTGATGTCTTCCTTGAGAGCTTCCGAATAGGGAATGAAACTAGTAGATTTTTGAGTCATTTGGTTGTTATAGCCGTGGATCATTACGCCTATGATCGTTGCTTAGCTCTACACCCTCATTGTTATGCTCTTAGCACCACCGGTTTGGATTTTTCTGGCGAGGCATCCTACATGACCTCTACCTACTTGGAGATAGTTTGGAGAAAAATTGACCTTCTACACTCTGTTCTTAAGATGGGATACAGCTTCATTTTCACGGTACACCCTTTAATTTTCTCAATGTCATACACATGATACCTCCAATTTTGTTGTATATTTCATTAGGTAAATATAACATTTTGATTTAATGATGTAACTCTTGCCATTCCCCCCTTTTTCCTCATCGCATTCTTTTGTACATAACCAACTCTCTGTAATCTTATATATTCAATATATAAGATGAGAAATCATATCATTTGGCAATAATGCAATTTTTCATTAGCAAAAATTGGTGGTTGTCTTCATAGTTAATTGTTTTCTTTTATCATTCTATATGTTTCACATTGTTGAAACTCTTTCCATATGGATGATAAAAATTGATAAAAGGTATAGTACTTAACTCTCTCTCTCTCTCTCAACAGGATGCTGATATAATGTGGTTTCGCAATCCATTTCTTCATTTTTATTTGGATGATGATTTCCAAACTGCATGTGATTTTTTTTGGGGCAACACTTCAGATTTAGAAAACCAAGCAAATACAGGTTTTCACTATGTGAAATCAAATGAGCGTACAATCAAATTATACAAGTTCTGGTACACTTCAAGAAAGACTTATCCAGGCTTACATGATCAACATGTGCTTAACAAGATCAAATTTGATTCATTTGTCACCACCAACATTGGAGTAAAAATAAGGTTTTTGGATACGGCTTACTTCGGTGGATTTTGTCAGCCTAGCAAAGATCTCAATCAAGTCTGTACAATGCATGCCAATTGTTGTATGGGTTTAGGTAGTAAAGTTCATGAACTTAAAGTCATGCTCGACAATTGGAGGAAGTTTTTGTCATTACCAACTGATGTAAGGGCATCCCAACCAACATCTTGGGCTGAACCAAAAAGTTGCAGGTATTATATATAAATGTATATATGTATCATTGGTTATATGGCAGAATGAATTAAATATTTTGTTTTTGTAGAAAAACAAATGAATAGCTAGGGATCTTATGGCTAACAGAATATATATATATATATATATATTTATATTTATCGGTGGTTTTCTTGTTTCCAGCATAAAATCTTTTCATCTTCCCCGTTCGCCCAAGAAGAAAGTTCAACAAGGAAGCAACAATGGAGGAAGCTAGTGTCTGGACTTTCATTATACAAATTGTTTTTAAAGATAAAGTCTTTGTTAGTTTCAGATAAAATGTTTCCAACGCTTTGTTTGGATATATATTGGATTCAGGGGAAAGGAAATTGAAATAAACAAATTTAACTTCCTTCACTCAATTTTCTTCTCATCTTTCCCTCTAGAAATCCAGGATCCAAACAATAGCTTATGTATCTTATTTTTCAATAATTTTTGTAAATGTGCTTCGAAATGCTTGTTTGTACAATTAAGTGGAGGCAAGAAATAGGTAAAAATGTCCCCCAAACACACCCATAGCTTTTACATCTAATCACATCCCATTAATGTTATTGTATTATTTATAAATTTTTTTTTAAAAAAAATGTTATTCTATCTTGAACGGCATTTAAAACTGAAGCAAATCTGTATTCATTCTATTCTTTCAATGTTCAATGCAATGTGATTCCATCGTTTGTATAGATAGCCACAGGTTCAAGGCTATTAACTAACACTCATTCAACCACTATAATTCTGGTAACTTTTAACTAAATCTATATTCATTGAACAAATCTCAGTACACAGAATTTTCACAAAACTAAACTCTAACCTGTCACATGTGGAACCCACGCCTCATCTCACATCTATGTCCATCACATGAAAACCTTCTGCACGAAAACATTCTGTTTTTCATAGCATAGCTGATATCCATTCTACTCTTCAATGATCAATACAATGGTGTGTGGATGGTGCATATACAAAATACATAAGCTTTTTTAAGAAAACCTACTCAGTTCCAGTCAAAAGTAGTTTCATGAGCTGATAACAACAATAAAGAGAGAATTAAAATTTAGGGCAACAAAGATTTAACCTTTATTCAATAGAAGCTGAATGTATATACATAATCCGAAATTTACAATTTCTAATTTTTTTTCCTCCAACCCATGTTTTGTCCCATGCCAGCTCACTCCTGTATTAACTGTCCAAACCATCCTTTTGTATAGCCTCCACAAAATATAATTAAAGCATATATATGGAACAAAATTTAAGGAGAAAGGAAAAGGGATAAAGAACTACACTAAATTGTCAAAAATTCAAAATCTTGGGCTCTTGCTGGGAAAATATACATTTTGTACACACTGCAGCTCGGTTTGAGTCATCTTTTTCCTTGATCAGAAATGATGGTTCAGTCATCAAGCTTTGTGGAGAGCTGGTTCGTATGGTATTCTTCGCCATACAGTTATTGATTGAAAAGCCATCTTCTACATGTGCAGCTTGGGTTCACCCATTTAACTTGGTTAAGAAATGACTCAGATTGTATTCCTCAGTGTACTGTGATTGATCCCAAAGCTCCTCTAGTCCACCAAGGATAGCTTTTAATCCCTTCCCAGTACCAACAGATTTTGTATCTCCATCGAAGTTACCATCGGAACCCTTCGAGGCAGCAGTGGCCTGGAAATCAAATATTTATAAAAAGTCACCCAACGGAGTAAAAAAATATAGCCTTTTCAGGAGAAATTTCATGTGACAATAGCTTAAGAAGAAAGTACTAATTTGATTTACTGGGAAAATATGTGTTGGAGTATGTGCTATGAAGGCATAAAAGCAACGGTAACAAGCACTTCCATACATTTGATTTAGAGGTGGTTGCCGGCTGCCGGGACTGGTGGTCGGAAGTAGTTTCCAGTGAGAGGTGGTTGTAGAGGGCCACTGAAAGTAGAGGCAGGTAGTGATGGGTGGTCGAATGTGATGGGCAGTGGTGGTTATGAGCAGTGAGTGGTGGCTGGAGTGGGTGGAAGAGGAAAAAAGGAATAAAAACAAATAAAACTAGCTTCTTTTTTTTGTCCTCTTCATTAGTTACAATAATTCAGTAAAATTTTTGAATTGTTTTCAATTTTTTGAAAATGAAAATAGACACCAAACAAATTTTTGTTTTTATCCAAAATATGTTTTATATGTTGTACTAAAAAAAATAACACAGCCATAAACTTGAGAGTTAAAACTGGAGTCAGCCATACCTTTTTAGTTTCTGCTGATGTGAACAGATCAAGCAACTGCTCTGTATTCATTGTTTTCATACTAGCATTTTCTGCATTGATGACAGAATTAGCTACAGAAACTTTGAATTTCTGGAGGCTCATAACTTTCTCCTCCAAGGTTCCTCGCATAATGAGACGATGTACATTCACCACTTTCCGCTGACCTAGCCTGTGTGCTCTATCCATTGCCTGCAAATGTTTAATATTAGAAACAGTGGATCTTGAGCAACAAAATAAGTAATTGATTTGTCACACATCCCACTTAATCAAAATGTCTTAACACTCTACTTGTGTGAGTGCCTCCATGTTCAGACAACTGTGCTCACATGGGCACGTGCGCGCGTGCGCAAGAGAGAGGGAAACAGAGAGAGAGAGAGAGAGAGAGAGAGATAAAACAATAGAAAGTCGTAAAACCAAAAGGGACCTTGGCTTCCATCAGTATTTATTAGACCTCCACTGGGCATCATTAATTCAAAGAGGCAAGTCATTAGAGGACTCTGGAGTGACAAATATAGTATTCTACAAGTAAGATGAATTATATTTGTGGTATACAATATGCATATAATATAAAAGCTTAATTATAAAATGGACCAAGTTATTAAAACATAAAACCAAGAGCACAATAAATTAGTCAGTTCACCAGGCCTGTCCATAACTTTTTTCCAAAAATTTGTTAGGTTCTAATGGGTTGAGGCACCTTAATCAGGTTCTCCTTAAATAACCCAACAGTTGAACCAAACTGAGCCAAGAGTTGAACCAAACTGAGCCAAGAGTTTAGATAAAAGTACACCAGTACGAGTGGTCAAGTCCACCAGGTTTTGGCACCTAATGTTTTTCTGTTCTCAAAAATATTTTTTTAAAAATAAAAATGAAGCAAATAATTTATAGGGAAAACTGGCAGAACTGCCAAATTTCTGATGACATGCAGTAAAAAAGTAGCTTGAGAGTAATTAATGGTGTATAATGTGTAAGAGGGATGCAGAATCGACGGACCACTTGTTCCTACATTGCCCTATGGCAGCGTCTCTTTGGTCTTTGTGATGTGCTGTGGGTTGCTCTGCGGGTGTGCACACATTTGCTGCTGGTTTCCTATGGAGGATTTGGAAGCAATAAGAAGGCCAAATCATTGTTGTCTTGCATTACCTTTGCTATCTTTTGGACCATTTGGTTGGAAAGAAATGATAGAATATTCAATGAAAAGGAATCTGAGGTTGATGCTTTGTGGGATAGGGTGAGGCATCTTGCATCAGTTTGGGCCCGTGCGTCTCCCCTTTCAAGGACACACCCCCTTTTTTGATTACTAGGATTGGGCTCATGTTTGTTATTCTTAGTGGTGGTTTATTTTATGTTTTAGTTGACGTTTCTTAGGTTTTTGCTTTGATCTCTTGACTTTGTATGAGGGCATGCCATGCCAAACCAAACCAAGCCTAACCTTAAGTCCCATCAAAGAGAGTCGGCTACATGAACCTTCTTCTCCCCTCGACTCTATTCAAGGCCATTTCGTCAGTCAAATTAAAGAGATTCATACCTCTATTTACTATACTAGTCCACATCAATCTAAGTTTACCCCTTTCCCTAACACTACCATCTACCGTAACTGTATCACATCTTTTCACTACTGCCTCTGTTTGTCTCCATTGTATACGACCAAACCACCTCAATCTATTCTCTTTCAACTTATCTTCTATCAGTACTACTCCTATCCATTCTCGAATATACTCATTCCTAACACGGTCTTTTCTAGTCTTGCCACAAATCCACCTCAACATCCTCATCTTAGCAACACTTATCTTATCTACATATTGTTTCTTAGTTGCCCAACATTCCGTCCCATACAACATTGCTGGTCTAATAGCCGTTTTATAAAACTTCCATTTTAGTCTAATAGGTAGTCGTTTATTGCACAGTACTCTAGATGCACTCCTCTACTTAAGCCACCCCGCCTTAATTCTGTGGATCACATCCACTCCGATCTCCCCAATTGTTGTGACAATCGATCCTAAATAACAAAAATGATCACTCTTCGGTAGTTCTTGATTCTCAATCTTCACTTCTTCTTTGTTTCCCTTGTGACTGTTACTAAAATTTCATTCTATATACTCTGTCTTAGTTCTGTTTATTCTAAATCTTTTAGATTCAAGTATTTTTTCCCAAATCTCCAACTCAGTGCTAATTCATTCTCTAATCTCATCCACTAACACGATATCATCTGCAAAAAGCATATACCATAACACATCATCCTGAATATTGTGCATCAACTCATCCATAACTAAAACGAAAAGATAAAGACTTAAAGTTGATCCTTGGTGTAACCCTACAAAAATTGAAAATTCACTCATCTCCCCAGCAGGAGATCTAATAGAGATCACTACACCTTCATACATATCCCTAATTACATCAACATAACCTTTTGTCACCTCTTTCTTCTTTGACGCCCACCAAATTATATCCCAAGACACTCTATTATATACTTTCTCAAGATCGATAAAAACAATATGAATGTCTCTTTTCTTTTCTCTATACTTTTCTATTACTCTCTTCAAAAGATAGATTGCTTCCATTGTTTACCTACTAGGCATAAACCCAAACTGATTTTTTGACACCTCTGTTACATCTCGTAATTGACGTTCCATCACTCTCTCCCACACTTTCATTGTGTGACACATTAACTTGATTCCTCTATAGTTGTTACAATTCTGGACATCTCCTTTATTCTTATATATTGGCACTAAAATACTCTTCATCCACTCCTCTGACATTTTCCTAGCCAATAAAATCTTGCTAGATAGCCTAGTCAATCACAGCCCCCTTCTTACCCAAACATTTCCACACTTCAATAGGTATATCATCAGATCCTAAAGCCTTATTCAATTTCATCTTCTTAAATGTAAACTCCATTTCAAAGTCCCTAATCCTACGATAGAACCTATAGTCCTGGTTTTCCGTATTACTGCCTCTACTTCCTCCCTGTTTGACCTGCCTTCATGTTCCTCATTTAACAATTTTTCAAAATAGTTCTTCCACCTCTCCTTAATCTCTTCATCCTTCACCAACACCTTAAAGTCCTCACTCTTGCTGCACTTAACCAGATTAAAATCTCTTATTTTCCTCTCTCTTATTTTAGCAAGTTTGTATATCTTCTTCTCCCCTTCCTTACTATCTAGTCTAGTGTATAGGTCATCATAGGTTTTCAACTTAGTCTCTCTCACTATTTTTTTTGATCTTCTTATTGGCCAGTCTGTGGTGCTTAAGGTTTTCCTCAATTCTATCATTCTGCCACTTTTTAAAGCTCTCTTTTTTCGTCTTTATTACCGCTTAGACCTCCTTTCTCCATCTCCAAGTTTCCCTAAAGTTAGGTCTCTTTCTTTTCGAGTTCCACATAGTGTTAGCATCATCTTCCAAGTACCAAATACCTTCTTTATCTATTCTATTCTTAAATAGTTTATCCCTTTTTAGGTCCCATCATCTAATTCTGCGACACCCACTATCTTTCTTTCTGAGTTTGGTATTGCCCTTTAAAGCATAAATCTAGTACCAAAATCCTCTATTGAGACGTCAAGCTCTATCTAAGAATCACCTTACAGCCACTACATTTTTTACAGTCCCCTTTTCTTACTAGAAAGTAATCTAGCCACAGAAAATTAGTGTAGATTTTATATACCTGATGATCTCGCATAGGATTCCAGTCATGCTCCATGAAAACGAGGGTGTCAGCTGACGTTAGGTTCAAACCAAGTCCACCAACTGCAGGAAGAGATTAGAGATTAGTGAAATTCCTAACCCAAGACTGTATGCTGTATATAATAAAATCTTACCATGTGTAGTGAGCAGTAGTACATCAATAGTAGGGTCTGAATTGAAAGCCTTTACAATATCAAAACGCTTTTCTGGTTCAACTGATCCATCAAGCCTCAAATATGTGACACTGCTTTACAGCAAGTACAAAATTATTAGAACAATGAAACAAGTCAAATACAAATGTGAGACCTTTTATTTTAACAAAAGGAAATGGCAGGTATTATTCCAGCCAGTGAATATATATTTGTTACAGTTACTCTATGAGTCCTGCAAGAATCAATGAGTAAAACATGACTTGAGGTGATGAAAAGAGGCCTCCATAAAACATTGAGCTTCAAGCATTCATCTTTTGTTGATTTGACACTAATAGATATCAGTGGGAAGATACAAGGTATAGTGAGTTTTTTACCTTCAATATGAGCATGAAACCATAAACTACAACTTGATGAAACCATTACATGACCAACCATTATTTTTCCTTCAATATAAAATAAAGAAGCAGAGGACTCACCTCTTCATATGACCATGAAACAGGTCTCTTTCAATTATGTCAAGAAAAGCCTGCATGCAATGTCACAGTTACATAACAGATCACATTGAAAGAACATAAGACTCACATAAAAAAGTTTGTCAAAGGCAAAGTAAAGCTTACTTTGTGTTGGGCAAATATCAAAACTCTGTGCTGGCCAACACTAACACAGCCTTCAGAAGATGAGGCATCAACACCTATTCCACACTCTTCCAGAATCTCCTGAAGAGCAACTAATTTTGGAGAGTGGTGGAGTTTATGGAGTTCTGAAATAATGTCAGAATTGGCAGGGAAAAGTTCTGACAAAACGCATGAGAATGAATCGGGAATCTTTTCCCCAATGACAAGCAATGGATGACCACAAAGTTTCAGCAAGTATTGAAGCGCCTGAAACATTACATAGGACAGACATCAGGTACTACAAATGGGATGAACTAATAAAGAGAATTATCGCTTAAATAATGCTACAACGACGACCATCTATTTCTACCATCTTATCCTACCATCTGATGTGTCAGTCTAGTTCTTAGCACTGCATTGGCGATATACACAAGTGGTGGGACCCATTACACCAATATTGTGTTGACAAGTAAGATGGTAAAAATAATATAGGATAGAAAGGTCTTGTGTAGCATTATTGTTATCGCTTTACCTGGAAAACATGAGAAGATGCTCTGGGTGAAGCACTACTTTCTCCTGTATCTCGCTCATTTGACTTTACCATGCTTGAAATTTCTTGTCTCATGTGTGAACCAGAAAACCGCTCATAAAGTTTTAATTGGACAGGACTCAGGTCACAATATCTATCCTGAATAATTTTCTCTGGCAGATCAGACAAGACCTCATCTTTTGTTCGGCGGAGGAGAAAAGGCATGACCTGATTCATACATAATCTTTCAGCCAGAAGTGAAAGCATGGAGCTATTTGATTCTTAAAAGTTATCACCAGCTTAAAAAAGTGTAAAGAGAAGGCACCTGCTTGTGTAATGCTTCCATGGCAAGTGCCCCTGCTTCGGCATCCTTGGCTGAACATTTAGAATCCCTAGCTGCCAGCAGTGGTTTTCCATAAGTGGCTTGGAACTGTCAAAGTGGTCCAATGAATTATCCTCAGTCTCATAACATAACTACAAATTAAATTTAAACCAATGGCACATGGAGATAGAATCACTGTATATATAGGGATTTCTACACCGATATATCTATCTTTATTATGGGAGCTAGCAATCCCCTACAAATACACATCTACATATCTATCTTTCAATCTATATATACACACATATATAGTCTAATATTTCAGTTCTTGCCCATAGCTTCCTTCAATGTATCATGCAACTCAACCTGGAAATGAACCTCTTATGAAGGTGGCTAATTTATTGAGAAAACTTACTTGCAACAAGACATTTTTGGTATATAATGACACTTCTGCATGTTATTTGACAACGCAATAAGGTCATAAGAGCCATAGAGCAATGATATGCACCAGTTACAAGTGATCCAAAACCAGTATGTTAATCAACCATTTACAGTAGTACTTGACTGACTGGAAGAAATAATTTTAAGAACATGCAAAAATCAAACAAGTCAATTCCACAAAAAATCCAATGGCTTCACCCACAAAATAAAAATGTACGTATACAACAGAATATGGCAAATGCAGACATATTCAATCTAGATTAATTTCCATATATTTGTTCTTCTAAAAATCTACATGCAAAACAAACAAAGGCAAATGTGTAAGAGATAATAACTGATATGTTGCTCACAACCTTCTGTGGCAAGGTGAAGATACATCTATGCACTGTACGATATCCAATGATCAATTCGCAGATACTGTGGTGCATAACACAAATAATTTCCTGACACCATTCACTATATATACAAAAATTTGTCTTAGCTAATGCAATATTTACTATCATGCTAATTTATCAGGATAAGTTTTAAGTTTGGGAAACATAATACAGGTCTGAGAGTTCAATGTACACTCATAGTTCAAATCCGTATTGCAGTCCATAATGGAGGTGAAATTTCACATACACTAGGCCCAGCTTCTTAGCCATGTGGTCATTAAAATATCTTATTTACATGCTTCCTATACATTTATGTATTGCTTTTTAACATTCACATTCTTCATGACTATGACTATCCAACAAACAGCAAATGAAACTAAGAACAGATACTGCATGCACTAAATGTTCAATAAAAACTTACTGCAGGATAACTACATAGAAACATAACACAGATGGAAAAAACATGCCTGTCTCTCAGTTCCAAGAAATCCTGGCATTAGAAAGTCAAATAGGGACCACAGATCCAAGACATTATTCTGCAACACGAGGCAAATCATTTGTCAGGAAAACTTTAAAACTCTTTTTCAATGCTCACCAAGTATTTACACTAGCAACAACCTGTATTGGTGTTCCACTCAATACGAGGCGGTGTTGGGCCTTCAACTGTTTCACAGCACAGGTGATTTTAGACTTAGAATTCTTGATGATATGACCCTCATCTAAAATACAATAGTTCCAGAAAAGCTGTCCAAGATAATCAATGTCTTTGCGGACCACATCATATGACGTTATAATGACATTATGCTTATCAAATTGACTTCGAAGTAAAATTCGCTCTTGAGCTGAACCAGCATATTGAAGTGTGGTTAGTAAAGACGCATCAATGAATTTCTCTATCTCATAGACCCAGTGTCCAACAAGCGTTGATGGGCAAATAATTAGTGATGATGGAGGATCCTTGCCAGCATCTGCAGCACGGTGCTCTGCTATGTCAGATGCCAAGATTGCTGATGCTTGAAGTGTTTTACCAAGGCCCATATCATCGCATAAGATTCCATGGAGGTTAAAACGCTTCAAAAAAGCCAACCAGTTTATACCTTCCTGTTGGTACCTGGAAGCACCAAACAAGAAAATATGACTGCCAAAAAGTAATAATTTTAAAACAATAATAATAATAATAATAATTAAAACTGAAGATTCCCAAATTAGGTTCAAATACAGCCACATATTATGATTAAAAGCCAAGGAAATACATATAGTAAGCAAGTGAGATAGTAATAGCAGTAATGAATTGACATTCAAAAAAGGCATCCGAAAAGGGTTCAAATTACAACAAACTTTTGGTATAGATTCATATATATATATATATATAATAAATAGAAATCTGTAAATCCTACTTGACATATTTTCTCTACTGCAAAGATCATATAAGTTGAGCAGCACAGCTTAAATTCACTAGAAAGTTAACAGCACATGAGCTGGTTGACAACTGATGGGACTTGGATTGTCTTACTAACATCAGGAGATAGTGAGAAAGATAGAATTAGAGAAGAATTTCCACACAAAAAAAGGGGGAGAAAAAGGAAAGAAGAACGAAAAGAAAATAGAAGAAAGAACAACATAGAAGTAGTGTAGGGGGAACTAGGAGATTTAAGCAGAGTATTTAGGGGAAAAGAGAACCTCTGGGGATTAATACCACCAGTTACTCTAGCTGAGAAATATCAAACCCAGGCTCACTCATATGTTCTATTCTAGGAAACAGAAGGTTCGCTTCTTTTCCACAATGAAACCAGCCAGGAAAAGTGGATCCAACCATTTCATAGACCCAAGGTGTATGAGACACCCGATCATAGTCTCTACTCTCCACTGATAAAATAGATTTTACAAAAAAGGAGAACTTCCTGAAGTTACAAAATTTATGTTCTCAATCATTTTCTTACATTAGATAAGAATCACGGATGAGGACACATGACACCCGAACAAAGACACAATATGGAGACACGACATGAAAATTTTCAAAACTTTACATGGCAATAAATAAATATCAATCATAGTTTTCAAATCGGGATTCGAATCGTGAATTGTAAATATTCGGTCAACTTTTTTAAATTACATAGAAAAACATATGTACACACTTAGATGTTAAATATCTAATAAATATGAAATATTTATATTTAAATCAATGAAAATATTGTTTTAAATGATGATCATGTGGTATGGGTGAGAAGTTAACAAGGGTTTCCATGTTTACTACTTCACCTTTTCCCTTTTAGATACTATTTCTTATCAACCATTCTTAATAAAGAAAGCAAACAAAAACAAACTTTTAGTTTTTAAGTAACAATAACTCAACACCAATGTTTTTAACTTTTTACAAGGTTAAAAAACCAAAATCTTCAAATTTTTTCAAAAGTCTTTTTTAATGCCATAAAAAAAAATCATTTTGTAAATGCAAGTATTTAGATAAAATTAAATATGTATGCCTAGAATATTGTAGAGAGAGAAAGTTCATTTTTTTTCTCTAAGGTTTGAGTATTTGAGAGTAAATAGAGAGAGAGAAAGTCAAAAGATGGCATACAGTAATACTAAAGACCATAAAAAGGTTTACCCTTTTCCAACAATACAAAACCAAAAAAGAAAGTCAAACATCGATTTTAGCAAATCAAATCGATTCGATTTGATTCACTAACGATTCATAACTATTTGCGATTCACACAACCTGTTTGTGTCGATTATCCACCGAATTGAATTGAATCATACGATTCAAATCACGAATCATATGATTCTAATAACAGAGATATCAATATATATAACATAAAATCAATTTTTTTACAAAACAAGAAAATTTTCTATTTATCATTACTAATAATTCATTTCTATTATAATATCTGTAAACCCTATTATGTTCTTTTGCATCTTTTTTGTAGTTTATTAGACTTCCTACAATGTAGAACCATTCCATAAGATGATCAAATGTGATCCTTGACTTCTTGAACATAGAGTGAAATGTAACAAAACTACCTCCTTTAAAAAATATATAAATAAAAACTACCTCCTTAGAATCACTTTTAATTCGGTGGAGAGCTCATAATCATCAATATGGGAGTTGTCAACTAGTTGCTCCAGAAATTGTGCATCTTCTTTACTGCTAGATAAGCTGTCACTTAGGTCTATAGGTGGAGATAATCCCCGTGCTAATGGAAGAAGAGGCACGAGGGCAGCAAAACTGTGTGTTACGCTCTGTCTGACAGATTGATCGCAATCGCTCATACACCTCAACAGTGGTACAACTAACAACGGAGCATAAGAGACCAGCTCCACGCCCAAGCCCTGAACAAGAAGACTAACAAGTATGCCAGCTCCTTGTCTGGCATATACAGACGTCATGTCACCTAACATAGGAATGACATTTACAATTACAGCACCCATCACGTTCACTGTCATTGACTTGGCCATTGATGCGATACACCTTGAAGCAGCCAGCCTAACAGCAACATGGGAATGGCGAATACATTTGAAAATGCATGGGAGAAGTGTGAGCAGTTTTGGCCGTAATGTCTCATCCAGCATAGGCGCAACAGAACGCACAACCTGCCAATAAAAAATGATACAAAAATAAAAACGAAAGTGTAAAGGCTCAAATCAAGAAAGAATTAAGCAAGCATATGAGAGGATCAGGATCCTGATACATTATTAGTTTCAAGTTCAAGACTAACTGCAAAAAGTACATGGGCCTGTGTTTTGAACCAAATTATAGCAAACACGTATATAACAGTAAAACTTGTTATATTTCTCACCACTTGCAAAAAATTCAAAATTTTAGATTTGACCAAGATTCATTACAAAATTCAAACTAGTTAGTGCTGTGTGGTAGATTAACATGTGCAACACTATGCCAGCCACAGAATAAGTTCTCTGTTCAAGGAGCTGCATTGGGCCATATCAAATCCAGTGCGTGAAGTTTGCAGTCCTCATGCTTCAGCAGATATCTTCTCATTTAAAGAGATAGACACTAAGATCAGTATGGCATGAGAAAGAGGGTGTCTATGAAGCATGGACACGGCAAAATTGGCGCCGTGGCCATGTCGGACACGGGGGCACGCCGGGGACACGTACAGGATTTAATTATTATTTTTGCATGGGACACGTCAGGGACACGCTTGTCCAGATTTGGACACGGTGAGGACAGAGAGACAAAGGAGAGAGAGTATGAAGGAAGAGTGAAAAGACAAACCTTCGACTCCAGTCGTCGAACATCCAGTTGACTCGAACCATCGATCTCGTCTCACTCGCATCAAACCATCGATCTCGTCTCGCATTGAACCATCGAACCATGTCTCGCTCGCGTCGTCTTCTCTCTCTCTCGCCATCTCTGTCCCTTCGCTTTCTTTCTTATCTCTTATATATATATATATAAGTATATATAAGATAATATTAATAAAATCATATTATTTTATAAGTATATGTAACATGTTACATAATATATACTACTCATACATATTAATAAAAAAAACACATGTATATAAAATAAAAAAATTACCAAAAACATATTATTCAAAAAAGGAAATAAATAAATAAAATAATTAATGCATAAATAAAAATATTTATAAAAATAAAAAATTTAAAAAAAATTGCCGTGTTCGTATCCCCATTTTTTGGAAATTGCTGTTTCCCGTGTCCGTGTTCATATCCATGTCCGTGCTTCATAGGAGGGTGTCATATGGACTTTTCTACTTCTCCCACAGTGCTCATGTCCGCGGGATATGACAAGGGTAAGGATGCGTGGCGTGTTTGATAACCCATATCCAATTTAGACACTTGAATCTTCTAATTTTATATGATAATTAAAGATCACATTTGCTAGTAAAGAAATATTTCTTGCTTCTCACATGGATGGGAGATGATAATTCCATATTTTTCCTAAATCCTATTATATTTCATATGTTCTCCTAAACCACAGTACTTCAAAATGATTCAAATTAGAGAAAACAACAAAACTGTTGGAATGATGAAGATTCTAGAAACCAGTTGCAATTCACGTGGTAATCTCAATAACAGGCTCAACCATCACAAGACCAACCCTCATAATTTCAATTAGACAAATGCAACTACAAATGATGCATCACGATAGTTTGTTATGGTAACAAGGACATAATAGATCAAAACCTGAAAGTGCAAGGATGGTATCAACCTGGATATTATTTATCAATATCTGAGGATCCTTAATGGATTCGATGACTTGAGTAATATCCTTTTCATCTTCTGAAGTCAGCCCTTCAAGACTACCGGGTTTGAGGACTTCAGTAAGACAATCCCACAGTTTAGGAATCATATCAAACAATGAAGCACCAAACTTCTTGCACAAATGCTTCAGTGCAAGTTCAGAACCTCGTCTGCTAATAAAGCCCTCAACCCTTGACCGGTCCTCACCAGAAGCTAGCATATGAACCTTTGACTTCTGCTTACCGGTACTGCTCCCAAAGGAGAGGAGATCTTGATCCTCAATAGTTTCTATGGAGCTCAAGACTGCAGCTTGTGGAGTCTCACAAGGATCCATGCACGTCAAACTACACAGATTCTTAATTAGCTTGTCATTTGGACTAGGCTTACGTGCAATACAATGAGAAATAAGCTCCGCAAGTGCCTCAGCTGCCTTATTTTGAAGAATTTCCTCCTTGAAAAGGAAAGCAAGACATGTTAGAATTGAATGAATGCCATGTTATCAAAATAGTATATGCTTATAATGGTATACCTGCTCTCTTTTAATAGAAGCCATTAAAGGTAATATAATTGGATTAAGCTTTGCAGGAAGCTCTGACATCCAAATAACAGCAGCAGCAACTAAAGAACAGACCGTAACATGCAAATTACCCTGTGAATCATTTAAAAATTAGATATAGCTAATGGATCCTTTTAACCAACAATAAACAAATCACACAAGAATTCACAATGTAAAAGACAATAAATTTTTTTTTGGGGGTGGGGGGAATCTTGGACTTAATAACGCTTTTTGAAGCTGCAAAAATGGTTTCACAATTACATTTCAACCATACCTGGACACATTTTAAATAGCCTGCAGTTGACAAAAGTCTTTGTTTCAATGATTCTAATTCATCAACAATGTTCCTTCCTACAGTTTCTTCACTCGCAGTATCATTACTTAGCAGTGGAAGTCTTGATGCAAAGCTCATTGCATCATCTGCACTCACACTTTCCAGGTCAATTTTGGTAGTTGACAACAAACTATTAAACATGCCAGATGCTTCAACAGCACGAAACAATTGACCAGCCTCATTCCGCATCTTAGCATATGTCCTTGAAAGTTCCGTGTAAGGAAGAAGGGAATCTTTCGTAGGGAATGCAGGGTCACTGCATCCTAATAAATCCAACAACCAGTTCTTTAAATTGTTGGAAAAACTGAGGAAAAAACTTGTGGTTCCAGAAAGTTGCTTGGTTTTAACCTCCTTGAACCAAGAAATAAGAACCATGGAAGCCACCTAATAAAATGAACAATAAACCCAGTAAGTCAGAGGAGACAAAAAGGAATTGAAGAGGCGGTGAAGGGGAAGGGGAGGGGGAAGGGGGTAGCTGTTGAATTTTCTGTTCCATTAAAAGGAATAACTGGTACCTGCCGCTGAACTCCAGATAAAGAGGTAAGGGCCTTCCACAATGGATCGACTACATATTGCATACAACCCTCGAGCAACTTAGAAATGAAAGTTCCCAACGCTGTTGCTGTAACTACTCGTGTATGAGAGATGGACATTTCCACATCGGCACCAACAATTATCTTGATCGGATTGGTGGACGGATCTCCGTTTTTCTCCTGTGAAACGGTAGCTTTCGCATAATCTGAAGCAACACTTACACAAGAATCACTCTCAAGCTTCAAGGCTCTCATCTTAGCTGCTGCTTTAAAGTGACTTTTACGAGGAAGAGCTACAGGCCAAAACATTTTTGTGGCATCCAGGGGTGAACCATAAGGAGTAGTTGCCAGTTCTAACCAATAAGAAATATACAACTTGGCAGCAGCTTCCAAGTCTTCCACTGAGCACTAATATCAATTGAAGGAACAAGAATTGCAGCAACAAGAAAAAAATAAAAAAATAAACCAACCATTTCAAGCATTAAGAATAATAAGATAGTGCAAGATGAACAAACTGAGTTTTAATGAAAGTGTTCACTCCAATGAATTTAAAACCTGAAGGAGGAGCCTCCAAACCCTCTCTGAACATTGCAATATTTCAGCATTTGATTCTAGGAGCAAGTTCTGAAAAACAATCCTAAGTGTATCACCCAAAATAAAAGAAGGCCAAAAAGAAGTCGAAGAGGACTCAGCTATGTTCCTTTTGTATCCAGCTTCAAGAAGCCGTTCCTGCATGTGAAATTCTAAGGATGAGATAACACATACGTATCTAACTTGCAAAAATGCAGATGAGAACAGAAAAAACAAAATCACACAAAAATATAGATATTGAAAAGACAAATATCTCAAAACCAATTGTCACAGCCAACCATGAACAGAAAAATCGGCCATTAAGTAACTATTGGCCATAACATAATGAATTTTGGGCCTCCTAATTTGGATTCTCTTCTTCATATTACCGTGAAATAAAATCACAAACAAGTAACAGCCAATATGTATCGGGTAGTGTTTCCTTATTGGAAAGAATCGGCTGATATTCCCAAGAAATTGCCCTTTACCCACTGCTACACACTCTGTGCTAAAAAAGCAAGTCCTGACGTGATGGGTTCCTTTTTATTTCCTCAGTTCTGTCGTATCTCCATGTAATACTCCTCACCACTTGTATTATAAGCCTAGATCTACTCATCTCAAGATACTTTGACGCTAAATCTACTCACTTGTTTCTTCAGGTTTTCAGCTAAGTGTGTAACGATCAAGTGATTTCAACGAAGATTGAGGATTGATTTGGCATTGAAGCTGTGTTTTATGTACGAGTATCATTGTGCCAACAAATTGCATTATGTTTACTTTATTTTTATGAATTGTCAATTATCTATTCTAGAATTTCTAACTATCCTAGATCGTAAAAACCCCTTCTACATGAAATTTTCAATTTTTTTAGCCTTAAAAACAACATAAAATTTAATAATTTCTTCCAGATCACGTTTTAGGTGCCATAAAGTTGATTAAAAAGAAACATTCAAATTGTGATAAATAAAGTTAGAACATACTTATTTATGAGTTTTTTTGGCATTTCCTAGTGCTTGAACAAAATTCATGAGTTTGGTTTTCAATTCTTGTTATACATTGCATTATAGTCTCAATACCCGTTACACACTACCGCAACTGTTACACCAGGTGATACCACAATTTAAAACCATACAATCAGCCATGCTAAGTAAGCACAAAATGAAGATAAAAAAACGATTCCAGGCAAGCTAAGATAGCACAACATAAAGATGAAAATAAATTCCCTTTTTCAACAAGATTTCATTAAGAAAGTATAGCAAAATAAACAAATCACCAAAGCAATCAAAAGTTCTGTTAAGTTGTAAATAAAAAGGCACAAAATAAAAACTTACCAAAGTACGAATAGCTGAATAACGGACTGACGTGATACTATGCCTCATAAATGGCCATAACCGTGGTGCCAATGTTGATAACATATAGGGATTTTCCTGAGTACTTGTTCCTTCTCCAAGATCATCTAGACCAACAAGTTCATTTAGATCAAATTCCTGTTTCATTTTTGATGGCAGTATTCCAGACATCTTAGGAATCATCTCTTCCTGAGAATAGATTTCTGCCAACAAATTCATCACACTGCAACACAAATAAATGAACAATTACAAAATTATTGATGCAAAATATACCCATCATTTTAACTTCCAAAACGAAATTCTAAGCTTACAATTATAAATCTCTGCCAATTAATTTTATTTCTACTCACGAAGAGACTAAAAAAAATTACCTTCCTTCACCCACCAAAGTGTGATACATTTTATTCTTACATTAAAATTTCAACATATTCAAAATCATTCTATTCCTCTCATTTCTAATGCTCCACAAAACATGATCACCCACCATTTTCTACATTCTATTGTTTTCACTGCCATGTAAATCAGCTAGTTTCTGCTTGTTCTTCCAGCAAATTCCAAATCAGAAATTATTAAAATTTGTGGGCCTTCTATTCAAGTCCTTGTTTGTACTCCTTGCTGAAGTAATGTCAGTCAATAACTCTCTCATAACCAGCCACATATTTTCCTTTGGCATTTTCTAGTTCATTTATGCAGGTGGGAACCCATACAAGCATACACTGGCATTGTTTGGTTACTTATATGCATTGTAGATTGTACCAAAAATGTGATATATATCATGAATACTTAAATAATATATAAAGCAATAAAGGACAGCAATAAGGAACCCATTGTGCAAAAATACCTGCTAGTTGATGGACTTAAATCATCCAGGTCAAGCAAGATATCCCAGAGTAGCATAACAATAGAATGCAATGTTTGACCCTTCAGAGAAACAATAGCAGCAGCAGTAGGTATTAGGGCATCTGCAGCAACCGCTTTACATCATCATCAGGATCCTCCAGCCCTGCTTTGCATGCAGGGAGAACATGGCCAAGCAAATCATCGAGCATCTCCTAATGTCAACAAAAGAATCACAGAAGAAATAAACAAAAAAGCAACAATCACTAACATGAGCAACAAAAAAAATACGAGCAGAAGAAATACAACATAGAAACAATGAAACGTTCTTGGGCAGTGGCAACTAAGGAGGGAAAAAACACTAAGGCAGAATAAAGACAGGCAGACAGGCAATAATAATAACGCATACGTACAAATATGAAACTACTAATTTCACTTTCTTACTATATCACAGAGGCATCCTATGTACAGTTGTTGGTATACTGAAATACTTTGTAAATTCTGAAGAGCAGAAGATACATTCAGTTATTATTGTGTATCTATTTTTTTCTCTGTAGATAGAAAGCAAAAGGCAAATGATTTAATAATTTTGTCACGTGATATAATCACGTCATGTAATATGGGCATATTATTAATGTCCAATAGACTGTCAATTCTTCACTAAGCCTGAGGGAAAACCAAACCAAACCAAACCAAACCAAGCCTTGCCTTAAGTCCCATCAAATGAGCTCAACTACATGAATCCTTCTTCTCCACTCAACTCTGTCCAAGGTCATTTTGTTAGTCAAATTAAGAAGATCCATATCTCTATTTACTACATTAGTCCACGTTAATCTAGGTCTACCCCTTCCCCTAACACTACCATCTACCGTCACTGTATCGCAACTCTTCACTACTGCCTCTGTTTGTCTTCGTTGTATATGACCAAACCATCTCAATCTATTCTCTCTCAACTTAACTTCTATCGGGTACTATTTGTACCTATTCTCGAATATACTCATTCCTAATCCTGTCATTTCCTGTCTTACACACATCCACCTTAGCATCCTCCTCTCAGCAACACTCATCTTATCTACATGTTATTTATTAATTGCCCTACATTCCGTCCCATATAACATCAATGATCTAATAGTCGTTCTATAGAACTTCCCTTTTAGTCTAATAGGTATTCGTTTATCACACAGTAGTTCAGACGCACTCCTCCACTTAAGCTACTCTGTCTTAATTCTGTGGACCACATCCACTCCAATTATTTTCTTTTACTCTCAGCAACACTAAGCCTGCGAGTAAAAGGACATAATTTCCTCCATCTGCAACTTATCCCAGGAACATAAATCTTTGGTGACAGGTTTCAAACAGCACCAGTTTTTAAAGTTGACAATAATTGTAACAATGCCATACGTCGCTCATTTCTAGGGTAGCCAAATTCAGCTTAAAGATATAATTTGAATTATGCGCAATGAGCTAGACATGACCTTACAAAATTTACAGAATCAAGAGGTTGAATTTGAGATGAGCTGAATATTGGCAGAAATGATCAATTCCGAGAGTGAGAAAGTAAGACTTACGCTTCATAACAAATCATACCAAAAAATAATCATACTTGATAACACAACAGAAAGGGGAACTGGCTATTGATTCTACTCCCAGTTATTTTTGTCAACAATTGAGTTCGGCTTCTTTAGTTTCAAAGAGAAAATAAGAATAAACTCCAAAAACCAATACACAACTTGCCTTTTGCACATGTGACTTGCTCGTAAAAAATTGGGACCAAATGATAGTAAAAAAATTGGGATAAAAAGAAAATATCATCTAACGAACCTATATAAAAAGTTGATACCAAATGATTCAGACATTCCAATATTACGATGCTTCCTTAGAAGTTTGACAGGAAATAATTTATAAGAGAACAACGACAAAGTTTGTTTAGGTCAATCGGGAAATTGGCTTGCAACTAGTTGGAGGACTTCAACCACCAAGTCCACAAGTCCAATTACATTGCCAAAATTGAGAGGATAATATTCCTGAAAGGAAGATACCCACTGTAACCGGGAAGCAGAATGTTTTGCTACATGGAACAGGAATAGGAAGAGGAACCTGAACTAAATAAGTCAGGTACTCTAGAATGTGGCAGATAGGGGAACGCATACACAGATCACAACTATGAAAGGTTTGAGGCAATCCAAATGTGATATTAAAACATTTATAATAAAAAGGACGATACATAACAGATAGTACCCTTCAGCTACACGAGTAGTCTGTTTACTTCTTTAAATTATTTACATTGAAATTAATAAGAGAAAATCATAGAACTCAGTGCACCCTATAAGGTGAGATCTTGACATGACAAGGCCCTTTCCATAATCTTGACATCACACACACACACACACATACATATTCTTTGCTTTACTTTTATTTAGGCCTTGTTTAGAAGCAGCTTTTCCTAAGCTAAAAGCTAGTAAAAAGATATTTTTAACTAGCTTTTAGCTTTAAAAAATTAAGTTACTTAAAAAAATCAGATTCTTTAAGATGCATCCAAACAAAGCCTTAATTAAGGCTTCTGCTTATAAAACATTATCAAGAAGAAGAAGAAATTACAATAATACTGGCAAAAAAGTTCGGATCTTATTATACACCACAATCCACAAGGTTACGAAAAAAAATTCATATTCTCTACCACACAGTTTTGTGAAATAGGAATTTGCGCATGGTTCCAATGTTAATCAATTTGCGTAACATGAACTAAGCGTGGCAGGAATCAGAGCAGATTTTGGAATAGCAAAAATATTGCAAATAACAAAATTTTACCTGTCGCACAGCAACCAAATATTTGATACCCAAAAGACTCCCATGTCGAACTTCCCATTCTGGTCTACACTGAAAAAAGAGGAAGAGACAATTAAAGCAGATGATACAGTCAGATCATATATATCTTCTTTATTGCAGTACAAAGAGTAAGACTGTCACAAAACCATATATCTAATATAACTATAAATAATAAAAAAACAGGCAAGTTCTTAAGACAGTATTTACCTGCATTTGAAGCAAGATATTCAATGTCTCATGAACTAATGAGGAATGCATGTACTTTAGGACAGCACCTAATGCTTGTGCACAAGTTTCTCGTATTGGAGCAACAACCTGATCAGAGACATAGTCTCCAAAACTGCAAAAGAGAGAAATGAAAAGAAGAAAAAAAATTCATGCAAGGACCTTCAAGAAAACTTCTCAGAACCATCACCACGATATTTGCAATTAACTCATGAATCAAAACTATAGATTATTATTATGGACAGGTGTCAATTCCTATCAACTAACTGAAAAAATCAATAAGAAACTAAAGTTCATGACTGGAACCCAATGGAAAAACAAATTCATACCGGTCTAGTGACAATACACACAAGAAACGAATCGCGCAGTCTTGAAGAAATTCACAATTTTTAAGCCAAGAATGCCTAGTCACTTTAACCAAGTTCATCAGCACACAATTTTCAGGAAGACTTTTCAGTGTATTCATCTTCCCCATTGAACAATTATCTTCACAGGAACCCTTTGCATCAGCCATATCCGGATCTTCATGACCATCAATGCATGATTGAGGCTCTATCTTAACAGAACTAAAATTAAGTTCACCATTAGTTGGTGCAGCAGACAAATTCCTTTCACTATCTTCAACCTTTACACAGGCATCAAACTTATCATCCCCACTGGCAGAGATTATTGTACTTGTAACCGTTAATGGAGACGATGAATCTTCAACCTTCAGCCTCTTCTGGTTTGGCTCAATCTCATCTGCTGGCACTTGCATATTCAAATCAATTTCTCTTTCTCTCTTCACTGTCACTTCAAGACCTTTATCTTTTGTTTCAGAAAATGGATCATCAGAACTCAGGTCAAGCATATAAACTCCAGCACAAGCACCCTGATGGGTTAAAATTTCTCTTAGAGCCATGACACTACCATGGCGAACCTCCCAAACTGATAACATATAATCAGAGAAACTCTTATTCAGTAAAAATAATACTGGAAGATCAAAATTGCAGAAAAGAATACACAAGAGCTTACCAGGATCAAACATATCAACAATGAGTTGTTCGACAAAATTATGGAAAGGCCAACCTCCATCTCCATCATGCTCAAAGTTGTCTTCATCAGGAATAGGATCCGAAAATGGCTGCATTAAAAGAAAATTTAAAACCAAAGTTCATATAAGAAGATAGAACACAAGGAAATTAAAAGTCGATTCTTGTTTCCTTTTGTTTTCTATGTTGGGAATAATTACAGTCTGAGAATAAATTTGATCCAAGCAGTATGGACACGGACACAAGATCCGGACAAAAGCACATATCATAATGGTGAAACTTATGAATCACATATCATAATGGTGAACACATAGACAAAAACAGAGCACACAATCGCATCTCTATGAGTTTTTATAAGTATTTAAATATCTAGAGGTTAAAAAAAAAGGGACAATTTTTGAAGTTTGCTCCTGTATATTTAGGATAAAGAAAACAGGTTCAGTTTCCATTGCAAAAAGTCATGTAGCTATCCGCAAAATGAAATACAACTAGTTTGAAGCCAATAGACATGTAAATTACAAAAACCACTTCTAAAAGTGATAACATAACGCAACATAACTAGCAAGAAAGAAATGAAAATAACTAGCATACACTGGCAGCACCCAAATACTATTTTAGTACCTTATTAGAGATTGATGAATCCGGACAAAAGCCCTTTGGCGACATCATATCTTGACAATATGTTACCTCCACATCTCCATCCTTAGACCAACCTTTTGTTTGATCTTTCGAACTTATTTTTGCTTTTCGTTTTAAAAGATTCAGTTCCCTAGCACTAGGCCTTCTAGATTTGTAACTGGGTACCATATTTGAAACTAGTTGCCGGACATTGTGTACAGAATGTTGAGTATAAAATTGATGGGGTACCCCATTCCCATGGGAGTTAAATTTGTGCTCAATAAGATCTTCATCTCTAATCATGTCATTGACATCCATGAACTGCTCACACATATCCAAACCTGCACAAGTCAAATGTTAGTGGGAGAAGTATATGCACATAAATTTATAGCAAATACATCACTTAATAGTCATGAACTCAAGGTGAAATAATTAAAGGAAAACAGATATTTAAAATAAAATAAATAAATAAAACAGTACCAAGGTTTCAAAAAAAAAAACACTAATTTGGGACAGAGAAAGGCAATGACAAACAGGAGAAAAATAAGTAAATAAGATACTTACAACTTCTTGATGTGGGTGACTAGAAGAACAATAATAAAGCCATCCACATAGCAGAAACCATTTCAAAGTAGATAAAAGATTCCAATAGACTAGAAGGAAGAGTCTACTAGTAGTCATACCAAAACCTGAGAGTTATCGATAAAAGAGCAAAAGATATATCTCCATATCTAAATAAAAAAGTATTAGATACAGCCAGGACAACTACAGTTTGGAAATTTCATAAGAATTGGACTCTTCAAGTGTTCGTAAACATTATAAAAATTATACAAGCACCCAAATTAAAATATCAATAACAAACCCAGTTAAAGGAATATGCCTATATCGCTAATCCATAATAAATAAATGAATGAGAATAAACTTACCCAATCGGCGTCGGAGATTTTGCTTTTGACGAGCCAAACGCTCCCTTGGGTTCTTCATGTTATCACTTGCAATATCGTACTCCTAAAGAGAAACTAATGTGAAAATTCAAAATGCACTCAAATTTGTTTAATGTACGGTTAAAGGGGCTAGTACCACCAACGCAAAGTCACACAAAATGTAAGAAACAATTGTATTGCAGAAACCAATACCAATTAAGTCTGATAATGCACATACCATACCAAACCAAACTAACCTCTGTGTCCCAATCAAGTGGGGTCAACCAATGCACATATCATACCATGACTATTAAAATCAGTTTCAATTTGGTAATTAGATTTTTTCTTTTCTTTTTTCCAATAAGAAAAATGTTAAGTTCACTAAATAAGATAAATGCCTGAGAAATAAACATTGTGCTACGAATGCATTGCGTGGCTCCATAGAAGCACCAAAAAATGAGAAGAGGTCTCCACCATCAACTTCAAAGATGGTGTCCAAACCTAGCAACAGTTGTCCATCAATGCCGGGCATTGCAATTTCCAACTTCTTCTTTGAGCAATCAAAGACAAATAAGGAGAATAGCCAAAGAATTATTTTCTGATCTCATAAGGAAGCATTTCATTCAATGCAGGTAAAGTAAGTTTCTGGTGAATGACCATAATAGAGAAACACTCATCATTCGTCACATTGGGTTTGTAATAACTCCCCCTCAAACTTGATAACATAACCATAAAGAATAAAAAAACAAAATAGAAAAGCACTACAAATGGAAGGCCGGAGGCCAAGAAATTTTGTTCTTTGTATGTCATTTTTTATAAAGAAAGCGTCAAAAGGAAATGATGGCCTATGCATCAAGTCTGAAACAGAACTCTTAAAAGCAAAGATAGCCCTATGCTCACTTAAAATTAAGAAATACAGCAGTCTCACTTAAAATTTTCGAGTATAGCTGCCCCTCTCTAGGCCAAGAAATCAATTATCCATTCCCTAATGAATCAAGCATTCAACAAAGCAAAATCATAACGTGAATCAAAAAGGGGAGAATATCCAAAATTTTGTGATTTTACTCCTAGCCCACTAGCAAAACATCACATCACCTTCCACCCAAATATGCCTACAAACAAATACTTTGGCATGCTATACCCTTTCAAGCACACAAAAATCCCCAGTTCACTGCATTGCCACAGCCTGGACAATTCAGCCTTGATTACCTGAGGAACCCCATCAATTCAATTTCATGAATGATGCGGCTGCCCTCAAAACAAATTCTACAGCCGAAGGCTGAGGCATTTGACTTGTAGCAGATGAGGCTGCCTTCAAGTCTCTCTAAATTAAAAATATATGGCACACCCCCAAAATGACTTCACTCCACGAATCAACAAGCATCTCCCTCTCCAAGTTCCCCCAAGGCCAAAGAAAGCCAATTTAAATCATCAACATGATGTGCACTAGAACATTTTACTCATGCAAACCATACAGAACAGGAAAGAAGATATAAATTGTTAGAATTTACCACTCACCTACTACCTCCACTATTTTTCTCCACACCTACCACCTCCACTATCACACACTCCACTACCATCTTCTTCTCTATATATAGGAGTTGTAATATACAGAATATATCAATCTTGTAATATAAACACATCAAAACATCAATCAATAATATTACATCATTTTTAACTAAACATAAATGGATGCATGTCTCTTGATTTCTACATAAATCTAGGGTAGGGTAAAACGCTAAGTTTTGATCAAACCAGCCATAAAATATATTTACAAGCAAAAACTACATCTAAAGGTCCAACACCTCTTGTCCAAGAAAGTTCACCAATTTTTAGAATCAAGGTCTCAAAGAAATTTGCGATTTCAAGAGACCAAAGAATAGGAAGAAAGCATACTGCCAATGTCAGCACTTTTAGATATTTAGAGGTAGTAAAGGCAAGGTAAAGAAAGAAAAAATTGCATACGCTTTCTTGCCAAAAAAAAACACGTGTTAAGATAAGACTTCAAGCTCCTAAGCAATGGACTTGCACAAGCCTCAAAATTTGTGTCAAAGAAAATTGTTTACAAAGATCTTCTATTACCCCTTTCCTATAGGAGCTAAATTTCTCAAGGTACCATTATTCAATGCCAAGACACCTACCCTTCTTATGATGATAAACAACAATTCAATTCACCAATCCTTTCTACCTTCTCCACTAGTCTCCAGCAAAAAGTGTCTCCATAACCTGTTAATCTTGAAGCCACCTTAGCTAAACTCTAAAAATGGACCAAATTTAACAAACTCTACTCACCCTTGATCACAACTATACTACATTAAGAAAATTGTATACTACTCACCCTTTAATAGAAAGAAAATTGTATCTCCTGAAATTGAAGGTTGTAAGAACCATCTCCATCTCCTCCAACCTTAAACCCATAAAATATAACTATCCATTATGCCTTATATATCATTCAACATACACCACTAGTAAATAAAATGGGAGAGAAGACCCCGAAGAGATGAACTTGCACAGGCCTTGAAAAATCATATCAGTCGCAACTCTAAAGCCCCACCCATATAAAGGTTGAAACACTTTCAATTACTAAGCGGCATTGCAAATTTTGTTCAACAAAGAACCACCAAACCAATTTAATTGCAATTAATTCGAAGTAACTGAGAGATCATCCAAAACGCTAATAAAGAAGCACAAAGAAATAATTTTCCAAATCAAGTTGAGTACCTGTCCCCCAGAAGCCAATAAAGCACCAAATTCCAAAACCTTGTTAATATCAAAGCTGTTACAATTAAAAATAGAAATTCGTTAATGGAATAACATGAATTCCTGGTTCACTTGTACTTCTGAACATAGAAATCAAATTGTTTTTGCAACACCAAATGGAATGCTCATGATCACATGTAACGAATAGGAAGTATATATAGTAAAGGTGAGGGAAAAATCAGATACAAGGAGCCAGAAACAACCTTCTAAACGAACTGCTTACTACAATTTTAGAATCAAAGTTAGGCCATGCCACCACATCTTCCACAATACCAGAAATTCCAGCCTCTGACATCTTTGTCTCAACACAACTATATAGTTCAGTCAATGTTGTATGCTTAACATTCCCTGCAATAGCCCCAATAGCATGAGCCGCAGCAACCCTTGTATCCCAGTTTTTACTGCGGAGATACTGAGAAACCTGAATTCGAGAGAGAGAAGATTAAAGCTAAAATGATCAATGTCAAGTGTAAGATCTGGACTGAAAAACCAACGCTTCACCAATTAAATGATGAATAAGGCCTCGTTTGGGAACAGGCTAATTTAGTAACTTTTTGACTATTTGGCTAAAATATGAGCTAAAAAAAACTAGTATGTTTGGGATGACTTTTTGACTTTTTACGAAAAGATGTGCAAAAAGTAGAGAGAAAAGAGAATCTTTGACTTTTTGGTATGGATTGTTGGCTTTTTGGCTAATTTAGTAACTTTTTGATTTTTTGGCTAAAAAAGAGGGTTCCCAAACGAGGCCTAAGAACAAAACCAATTTTCTTAAAGGCATAGTGTCATTTGTATTATTAAAGGCATAGGCTCTTTGTTCTAAAGTGATAGGTTCAAAACCCAGACAAGTCATCATGTATAAGTTTTTTGTATGGATTTTCAGTTTGCATATCACTACTCAAATCATAAAGTACCACAAAAGAGAGTCAAGGCAATAAGAGATAACTTTTGCAAAAGTCCATACTTTACTTAATAGAGAGCTCAGGTCTTGCGGATGTGATTTTGCAATATCCCCTATCTGCCGGGCTGCTGTAAATCTTGTTGCTTGGGTTGAACCAGCTTAGATTTGGTTAAAGAAACACACCATTTAAAAACTGCAAACTGAGTCCATAACTATATATACAAACACACATACTCAAAGGTATACATATGCCTACTTATTTTAACGAAAAATACTCACCACATAATACACCGAACAAACAAATAGCAAACAGAGCCAATAGATTCATGTAACAGAACAAGGATACTGTCCAACAGAGTAAGGAGACGATTAAGACGAGATGATTGCTGAGCCATAACGCCTTTTCCAAAGATGTGGTGGGAGCTGGAGCCGCAACAGCCTCTCTCATTCGAACAAAACAGTTTCAAACAAGAAAAGCAGCATTTTGTTCCATTTCAAGTGTGTGCATATCACTGAGGACAGCAGACAGAGCACCACAATTGAGTTACTAGAGCAAGACAAGCACAATGCACATAAACACCCACAATCAAATAATCACATACACACAAAAAATCAAAATAAAAAACCCAAGGAAATGGTGATAACTCAAACCCAGTATGTGGTCCACATGCAAAGCAACGAGTTGAAGATTATATCGTTGATCGATCCTCGATTAAGCCAAAAATTCCTACTTTTAGAAATCGGAACAACGCAATAAAAATTTCATTCAAAACCTAAAATTGTTGAATCTCCATTTGTAGATAAGAAGATATATGATAACGGAAATAGAAATGGTTGAAGAGAACGATGAAACAGATAATCATAGATCATGAATACAATTACATATACATATATATTGCATTGAAGCTATAGAGATACCTCGGGGATGAACAATCGTTTCATGAAAAATGCGAGCGAATTGAGCTAACAAAAATGCAAACTTTTGACTTCCAATCACAAACCCTAGGCTTCCACTGCGTTGCTGTATATAACGGGCAATACAAGGTTGTCCGGTTCATGTACTGGGTGGTTCAGACCACCGGTTCTCGAACCGGTTCAGATGAGTATCACTTGTTGAGCGGTTTAACATCAAAAATGGGTACCGAGGATAGATTGGGTCGAATGATCTCCCCTTCATCATCCGTCTAATCTTACATTGATTAAAAAAAATTAATTTGTATCCATCTACTTAGTTAATTGATGAAAATTAAAATTCTTTATTATTTTTGGTCAAAAAATTTTTATTCTTTATTTTTTTATAATAAAATTAAGAGTCCAACTTTTATAAATAATAAGTATAATTACTAAATAAAAAGTTACTTTTTAACACAAAATATAAAAACATAATTTTTCATCCATCATCCGTTCAAATTTAGGTAGATTGAAAAAATATTTTTGCATCCCTCAACTCAAACTTTTAAAATCATACATTTTATAGTGAATTGGTTCGAACCATTAGATTTTGACTAATCAGATATATGTGTATCTAGTCCTAACAACAATTTTCGAAAGATTGAGATCTCAACATGGGAGAACTTGAGGGATCAATAAGACTCATTACGAGTCCCGTTTCGAAAATTCGAATCATTCATTTTGTATGGCTCTCAATATGTAACATCTATGAAAAAAAAAGTAGATCGATCCAATAATTGTAATATTTTCTTTTTATAGTATTTGTCCTAAAAAAAATAGATGATTTATTTCAAATATATATTTCTTATCTAGTTTTTTAGATACAAATGTAATAAAATGAAAAAGTTACGATTACTGAATCAAACTAATTTTTTTTTATAAATATTATACATTTAAAACTCTACAAAATAAACAATTTAAATCATCAAAACGGGTCTTATGACAGGTTCAACCCATTTTTGAAAACATAAAACGACACCACGATCTAAAATGACGGTTCAGTCGGTGTTCCGCAGCTGGTCCAATCTGGTCCGATTTTACAATATTGGTTTTATTTTCTCCGGTCCATAGGAATAACACATCATCTTACAAGATTAAAACATGGGTTTTGTATCTCAACCACAACAAAGCAATAAGAGAAGTTATTGCATTTCAGAACTTTTTTTTGTTATTATTATTTTTAAGATTATAAAATAACTTAGTTTTAATTTTACATGCACCCCCATTTTATACATAAAAATTGGTATTTTTTAATTTTAGATTTCAACAATTTTCAAACAAACCCATATTAAATACAAAATTATATTAAAATTTAAAATTTTATTAAAATTATAGCACGGTCAAGTTTAATTATGTTAGTATTTTGAACGGCATACCACTATTATTGAAAGTCACAATTTATCTACCATTAAAGTAAGTATAAATTAAGACATAACTAGTAGCCGTAGAAAGGGAAGGTTCTAGATTTCCAGCTCAATTCTCGATGTGATTTGCAGTGTCAACTCCGGTGACAAGCGATTTCCATCGAGGGGAGGGGGTGTTTGCTGGCTGTGCTCTGAGCTGTTTTGGCTCTTTTTTTCCGGTTTAGATCTGATCTTCCCCTCTCCCACTGCGATTTGGGCATTTTCCGACGCCTTTTAACGGTTCTTACTATCCGGCGACCCAGAGGTTTGTTCCAACGTGGGTATTCCCTGTTATGATGTGTTAGTCCTGATCTGGGTGTCAGCTGTGTTTGCTTGATTTTTTAGTTGTATTGGCTTGTTTTCGTTATTTATGTTTGGGGTGCGTGTCGGTTTTGTGAGTTTTTCTTTTGTCGTAGTGGCTGGATTCATTCACGTTGAAGAAATGTTTTCTTCTTACATCTAAGTTGATCGTTCAACGCTCGTCGAAGGAAGATAAAGATAAAGGTATAGTCATAGAAGGGGAGGTCTTGCAGGCTAAGACCAAAGGTTCTTTACCTTATGATATGTTCAAATTCTTGGATCCTTTGGACATTGCTTTGATCGAGGATTCTCTTGAATATGACTTTTTGTTTGATTGGAATTCTGCTCTGACCCAATCTAAAAATTCCATGGGTTTCGATGAAACGGACTATAAGACTAACTCTTTCTCCAATGACGTGCCATGATTTGTCTGAGTCTTCACATGTTGGTGTTGGTTCTAGTCCGGGTGGTTCTTTTAAGAGGTTGCTGTAGACACCCCATTTTTGACCGACCTTAAGACTCAGACGTCACTGATTGAGCGCTTGGTGATGTTGCATAATGTGCTCGTTCAGAAGTTTCAGAGTCACGACCGTGAGCCCTGCCTCCGGACTTTCGAACCCTCTTCTGTGCCTTGTCTCGGTTTGCGAACCAGACTCGGTTTTCTCTGTTTCTTTTCCTGAAGGGAGGGAGAGGTCCCGTAGACCATCTCCATGGCGGTGGGTTAACATTTGGTGGCCGTAGGCCATTTTGCCCATTTCGGAGTCCAGGTTCCGATTTTTCGGGAGCCGTTGGCCGTGTGCCCCGGTTCGGGACCGCTTAAACCATCTCCATTTGTTCTTATTTTGGCATAACTTCCTTTCTACTCCTTTTGAGGGACACTGGGGTGGAGAACCCTTCGTGGCCGAATGCCACTTTGGTGCTTTAGCCCATTTTCGGGACCCCGAACTGCGCGTTTTGGCCCCGAACATGTCGTTTTGCAACGGTTTTTGTCAATTTTGGCAGGTACCCTCTGTCTATCACTGGGAAGGCGTAGAGGGTGGGAGCCAGTAATTGTTGCAGAGACCATTATATATCCTCCGACGCCCTTCGATGCCCGTTTTTCACACTTCCGGGCTAATGTTGAACACCTAGGGGCCACTTTCTTGGAACTTTGAACCACAATTTGGATGTACACCACATGGGAACACCCTAAAATTGGTGGCCGGCCACTAAATGTCTTGACTCTCCTTTTGAACCCCCCTTCCGGGCTAATGTTGAACACCTGGGCAAACCTTTCTTGAACTTTGAACTCACATACTTGTGAATGTAACACCGGGAGGACCCTAAAAAGTTGGTGGCCGCACACTAATGTTGCTTGACCCTTTTGAAACCCCTCCCTTGCCGAATGTGAAACACCCTTGAGCCCACTTTTCTTGGATTTTAAACCCATAGGGTTGTGATGAGGAGGCATGGGAGGACACCATTATGTGGTGGCCGGCCACTAAACCAACTTGACCCTTTTGACCCCTAGCCGGCCAGCTAGGGGATGTGGCCGGCCGGCCACCTGAAACAAAAATAACCAGCCGACCATGATCCTTACAACATCCACTTTACAGCTGTATAGCTGTTTCCCCCAGAAAATATCCCAATTCGGGGGATATTTTGTGGGGGAAAACTTGCCTATTTTCCCCCACCTTTTGCCCCTCCTTTACTCCCCCTTTTTGGTCCATATAATCAGCAGGCAACATGGAGTTTAGGGGTTAGAAAAATTGCCTTCAAGCCTTGATACACAAATTCCTCTTCCATCTCTCTCATTTCCTAAAAAACCCTACACCACCATTTCTTCTACACCACCAAGCTCTACCACCACCACTCCATTCCAGCAGCAAGGAGAGGAATTCCAACAGCTAAGAGGCAACAAATTTGGTCCAAGAAGCAACAAAAGTATTGATCTTCAAGGGTGAGTCCATTTTCCCTCTTTTCTAGCTCATTTTTGCATCATTTCTTAGCCTCTCTTTCTTGAATATTTGAGCTCCGACCAAAACTGAAAAGGTCATTTTTTTGAGCTCATTTTAATGTCTCATTAATGGCTCAACCCTGTTTGAGCCCTCCTTCTTGCACTTGCTTCAATACCCTCCTTGAATGTCATTTTCTTGCATGACTTGGCAGCCTATTATGCTTCTGTTTTTGGTCATTTGGCAGAGCTAGAAAAGGTCTTATTTTGGCCCATTATTCATGTTTCATTAAGGGTCTTTCATGGTTTGAGGCATATTTTATGCACTTCATGTTATATCTCTCTTTTAATCCCCATTTTTGTATGATTTGTTAGCCTATCTTGCTTCGGTTTTTGGCCTTTTTACAGTACTAAAAATAGTCTTATTTTGGCCCATTCTTCATGTTTAATAAAGGGTCTCTGGCTGTTTGATGAATATTTTGCATACTTTGTGTTACAGCCACTTTTGAGCCTCATTTTGCATTGCATTTCTAGCATGTTTGTATACTGTTTTGGAGTTTTTACAGTTCTGTAAATAGTCATATTTTTGGTCCCTCTTCAATGTTGTAGAAGGGAATTTTTCAGTTTGGGCTTTGCATATACCACTTGCCTCTTTGGCCACCTTTTGGCCCTTTTTCTTGCATAGGAGTGCAGCCATACCTGTGTTTGTTTTTGGGGTTTTTATAGTTCTGGAAAACATCATATTTTGGGCCCCTCTTCAACTTTGTTGAAGGGCCCGAACCTGTTTGGGGACAGCAGCTGTGAGTTGCTTCTTTATCTCCCTTTTAATCCCCATTTTTGCATGCTTGTTTTGCCCTGTTTTTGTCAACTGTTTGGCCATGATTTAAACTGGAAAAGTGCTTATTTTGGGACTTCTTTGCTTCTGTATTTACATTCCATGTACCAATTTTGCATGTTTGGTATAGCTATAGGCCATTTGGGGTGCCAAAATTCACCTTTCAGGACTTTTTCATGCATCGGGTGTACTTTCGCCTCATTTCGGGGCTGTTTTCCCCCACATTTCAGTGCTGAAATCCCATTAGCATGTTTGTATGCCATTTCCATGTTATTTGCATTGCGTATGCATTGCCTCGGTTTGCGTGCCCGTGTGCACGCATTTCGAGGCACTTCATTTTCATCTATCGGCCTCTTATGTGAGTGTGGCTGAGGCTCTCTCACCAGGAATTACTAGATAAGGGCTTTATTCACCTTAGCACTTCGCCTTGGGGAGCACCAACCCTCTTTGCTAAAAAAAAAATGGAGCCTTACGACTTTGTATTGATTATCGAAAGTTGAACCGGGTTACGGTTAAGAACAAGTATCCGATGCCACATATAGATGACCTGTTTGATCAGTTGATTTGGACTGTAATATTCTTTTATTCGGGACTGTATATTTATTCGGACCCTCTGCGCAAGGGCAC